AAGCGGTTCTTTTAAAACAAAATGTGCCTCTATTTGGGACATAAAAGGCTGTTTTTTCGCGATCTTCAGGCGCGATAGGAATCTGCCAAAAAGCCTTAGATAAATCAATGCTAGTTAAGTAGCGCGCATCTCTAAGGTTATCCAAAATTTCGGAGATGTAAGGTAAATTATAAGCATCCCGTTTAGTGACAGAGTTGAGTTTTCGGCTATCAAGACAAAATCTAGGTTGTCCGTTCTTTTTAGTCACGATTAAGACTGGAGAAGACCAGGCACTTTCACAGGGCTCGATCACGTCCAATGATAACATTTCGTCAACCTGCTCAACTAAAATTCGTTGTTTCTCAGGTGACAACCTATAGTAACGTTGACGGATAGGTTGAGCGTTACCAGTGTCTATTCGGTGAGTCATTAGATGTGTAACTCCAAGACCTTTTCGTTCAGCTGATATATTCTCAAACTGTTTAATGACGTTATCAGCTAATTGTTTATGAGAATCGTCTAAGTTTGAATAACTTTGAATGAAAGTTGGTTGTGAGTCAACAAGTGAAGCTGTACTATCAATATTGCTACACATTTCGATACTATTAATGTACTTAGGGCACAGTTGAAATTTTTGCCAAAAGTCTATTCCTAAAATGAGACTTTGTGTAATATTAGGTACCACAAAAGCCTTCAAAATGTGAAATTGGTTTTCAAAATTTACTGGCAAGTTAACATAACCAATACCACTAATTTTCTGACCTCCGGCAGCCGTCACAGTAATAAAATCTTCTGTGATAATAGGCAAACCATGCTTTTCCAAAACTAAATGAGCTTCGTTACCAAGTATGGTGACTGCGGAGCCAGAATCCAAAAGTCCCTTAATACTCAAACCATTGATTTGTAAAGTTACGTAAGGCCTATTATCCATTTCAGTATTTTTGTTGAGAATTGTATGAATATTGTAAGAATTAAAAAATAATTTAATTGTATCAAGCCATTTCCGCCAGTCATCTTTATCAAAATTCTTATTCATACAACTCTCACGCACTAGTTTTTTGAATTGTCCCTCTTATCTTTTTGACAAATTGGACATTCAGGAGTCTTAAAACCTTTATGACCACAGACAAAACAAACAATTTCAGCCTTGTTAGCTGTACACTGTCTGAGGTTGTGAGTATCATTACGACAACGAGGGCAGTAACGTTTCATTTGATTGGAAGAATCTATAGCATGTATATAGTTTTTAGGAGTAGAATTAGGTTTATATTTACTAAAAGTGCTATTTTTGTTACTGTTATATGAAGATTTCTTATTAAAATAATTATTGTTTTGTAAATAAGAAAATCTATTTGTATTAAATTTACTGTTATCATCACAATTTTGTTTCGATTGTGAAGCCCCAGAATAAGCAAACTCAGGTGCTAGAGTATTCTGTGTTAAGTTTGGGAGGTTCTTTAAATTGAGAAAGACGCGCCTGTACACATTCGTAGTTACGACAAGCGGCTCTAAGCTCATCAATTGTCTTAATTTCCGAAAGGTTAAATAAAATATTTGCGTAACATGGACGAACATTATGAAGGATAATTTCTAATTGATCGGCTTCAGACAACCTTCTTGACAATCGTGAAAAAAGTCCAGACATAATTGACAAGTAAATCACTATATTTTCTGATTCTCCTTGTGTGCGAGATCTAATTTCAGAAAGTAGTCTGTAGTCATAATCAGACTGATCGAAATCACGTTTCAATAAAACTACAAGTTCGTCCCAACTAGATACGGTATCTCTAATGCTTCTAAACCAATGAATAGCATCCCCAGTGAAAATTTCAGTAGCATTGCTTAATATTTTATTGTGAAGAATACCTTTCGCTTTACAAAATTCATTAACACGCTCAACAAAAGCGCGCACACACGACTTACCGTCAAATTTTAATTTGGAAAAATTATTGACACTATTGCCCTCGCAAGTGACATTAATGTTGAGTGGCAATGCTGAACTGAAGCTGGGCTGAAGCAGTCGAAGGTTCACTACCGGAAACAGCAAGTGCATCAAAAATTGTGTCCTTAAGCGAGTCCAACTTAGAAACTGCATTTCTGTATGAGTCATAGCAATCACTAAGCTCCTTTTTTAAAGCGTCGGTGCAAACGATACGGTTAAGCCGATGATAAAGATGATGTAATAAATTTTGAGTACGAAGCCAAGTGTTTTTATCGATTTGCGCGACCAAGTTAGAGTTAGCTCTCTCAAGGACGTCGTTAACACCCTTAAGATCCTCCGGAGGATCGAAAGGACTCGAAAGAATATCCTCCGAAGGATATAATGGCCCGCACTTAGCAATTTGTTTGCGCAACTCCTGAACAGTCGAAGCAGGTGTTTCGCCTCTAATGGTCACTTCGTACTCTAATTCGGTCTTTTGAAGTGACATAAATTTCACGGGGTAAGACATCATGAAGAAAAAAAATCTTAAATGAACAAAAAAAAAATTGACAACCCTATCAAGGTGAATGTTGAACAAGTATGGCAAAAATAATACAACTACTCCGTCGTTACAAAATCTAAACTACTTGTAACGCTCTGGTTGATATAAAAAAAAAACTACTTATTACTACTAAAGCACTATACTACAAAGCGCTAGAAAACACAAAATTAAAATATCTAATCGCAACTAAAAAATAAAAAGAACAATACAAAAATAAAAATATGCAACTAATGTGTACGAACCCGTTGAAAATTTAAAAAAAAAACAATCTATGTAAATGAGCTGCTAACTGTGCTAAATAAGTAGCAAAAAGTTAAAGAAAACAAATAGTTGAGCAGCAATGGAAAAAAAAAACAAACAATAGATTAGTAAAAAAAATGTACCACTTTTGTTGGTGACCGTAGTTTTAAAATTATAAATATGTAAAAATAATAACCACGTTCGTACACCTTAGTTGCGGCAACCAAAAAATAAAAAGCGTTTTACAACAAAAAAAAGCAACAACACAATGACACAGCATATAAAAATACCACCGGCACAGGAAAGCAAAAAAAAAATACTGTACCCTAGAACCACGTCAAAGGCGCCAGTGTCACGAGCCAGGGCGTTTAAATGAAACCAACTCTTGGTGTGAACAACAAATTTATTTGGGCGTGGTTCGAAGTGCCCGGGTAAAAAAAAAAACCGTTACAGTATTTGAAAGTTCTTTGCTTTCCCGGCCAGGGTTGGTACTCTCCTGGTAGTTCCGCCGAAGAGAAGTCCGGGCCCAGAGAAGATGGAGATGGTCACGAAGCGGTGGTCGTACTGGTCGACAGTGAAGTCCCGAAAAGAAGTCGGAAGTCGTCGCCAGGCGATGGGGTGACCGTGACGGGATGGATTGCTGGTCGTTGTCACACGATGGTGTACGGTGGACGCCACAACATGGACCCTGTAATATGGTCGCATTAATAACCAAACTCCGTTGTCTCCTCTGATTGTGGCCATGGCAAGAACTGGAGTAGAAAAGTACCCGGAACGTATGTGTGTTTTGTTATAATTGCCACAATCAGATCGGAGTTACAATCGGAGAAATAAAACAATTGAATAAGCTAAAGCACAGCTTAGTAAGCTTAAAAAACAATAGGAATATATCTAATATAACTTGCAAAAGCATTATAAATAAAGATAAAAATTCAAAACGACGGTTACTATTTTAAAAATTTAAGATTTTCCACTTTATAATCGGACGCTAATTGAAGGAATACTTGTTCAACACTTACCAATACGTGGGTTAATGCACTGAGTGTAATGATTAATTATACTTAAACAATTAATAAGAAAAAATAAAAAAAATATAAAGATCGCGCGTTGTCCGCAAGGTCGCTGGGAGCACAGAACGAGCGCGTGTCTGCTTGGAGTTCAATTTCGGAGTGTGAGATGGCCGGCCGCGCCGCAGCCAGCGCGCGGTGCAGGTCGGGGGGGGGGGGGGGGGGGGTAGGGGAGGAACTCAACAAACGAGTCGCCAAACTTGGAAGCGCGCGTGCAGCGAAATTTCATTGCCCGATGTTAAATGAATTTTGTGTTTATAAACAATAGGTATTCAAAAAAACTGATTCGTGTAAATAATGTACAAAAACAATATAAGTTAATAATATTAAACGTAATTTAATTTTTAGGTAGAATATTATAAGTTTTAATAAAATAAATATGTAACAACGTTACATAAGGTGTGATACACTAAAAATCTAAAATATGGTTATAATATAAACATAACAAAAATAATAAGCTTTCTTTAGTTAACGAGTGTTTAAAAAAAATCTCTAATCTGTGGCTCATTCACAAATAACACACAGTTTCTGTCACAGAGTACCTTCCTTATTATAGCCGGAAATGCATAGATGATACCTGATTTTAAAAGTTACTCATTATGCATTAACTTTAAAAACAGGCAACTATCTATTAATCAACATGCTCTATATAATCTAATACATAATTTCGGTGCTTGGTTTGATTTCCCTAGTTTGCTATATAACTTATTTGTTTTTTATTATTTTAATACCTATGTAACTACCTATTTGCAAACATAACCTCAAAATCATTCAGTGTATATGGTTTGTAGAAGTTCTCAGAGGTGTCCGTCAATAATATTCGTTTCTACACTAATTTATATATAATTTCGAATCTAGGAAACAATTTTTCATGATTATTGGTCTTTAGGCCAAACATGTATGGAAGCTGAGCAATCTCCTTTACAATAATAGGTGACTTATTATTGATACTTCTATCCCTAAGAAGCGTTCCTCAAACAATCCATCCGTATGTAATCGTTATGTAATCTTATAAAAGTCTACTACTTTCCTTTCTGTATATATTTCTAAAATATACATAATAATACATATAATAAATACTTGCTTACTTTTCTATGTTCTGTTTATTCATCAAATGTTTCTCTAATATATACGATACTTTTAAATATAATTAAAATTTAGTATTAATCATTTTGATTTTTTTCCTGTAGTCTGTTTTTTAATTTTTTATTTCTTTTTTTATCTAATTTAGCTTAGGCAAGCACTCGAGCTTCACGGTGTCAGCGGAATCGAAGCCGGAGATGGAGTTGATGTACCAAGTGCGGAACCTGATGGAGAACCAGCTGTACGAGTTCTGGGTGTCCGCCACCACGGGCTCTGGTGAGGGGGAGTCCACTCTCGTCGTTGGGCAAGGTCCTAGCTCTAGGAGTAAGTATTTCTTGTTCAACTGATAATTTAAATAAGATGTTGGTACGCAGTGGCGGCGCTAGACCACATGTGGACGTCGGCGACATCAAGTTCGCGAGGCCTATTTTACTTCGTAGTAAAAATCCGTTAAATTAAGTGAGCTAAATTATAAAATAACGTATGAGTAAACGAGTTTTATTGTTGATAATCAAATGATCACAAAAAGTAACTACAAACATAGAAATTTAAATACAAAAATAGTGTTACCGGACAGACGATTCTGAATACCCGTAAAGTACTACTCGCTTCCATCACGCACGTGTTAGAAAATAATAAAAGTCATTATCATCTGCTTAGCTTTTTCCCCGAATTGTTCGGGGTCGACTAGCTAAGCCAGGCCAGAAGAAACGAAAATAAATAGGTAACTTGTAAAAATTTTTTGGGAGGCCCCCTCATGCGCGAGGCCGTCGGCGGTGGCCGACGTCGCCGACGCCTAGCGCCGCCGCTGTTGGTAGGTAGTAACAAAGCCCACCTGGCGGGTGCGCGGCCATTCGGAGACTGGTTCCGCGACCACACCCGCCCTCTCGGCATGCACTAGGGGGACCGCGGTCCTCATACTGCGTGTCGGGTGACGGTGCAGGAATTTTGTCTGGTTTTTAGTGGCCCTGTTCAGGGCGTAGGTAGGGCCCTGTTCACATCAGCGAGCTCCAAGGCTGGCTGAAGAGGACAGGGAGGAGTCCCACATACCTTCTTCTCGCTCCCCCAGTGGTTGAAGGATGCGTAAGGCATTTTCCAGACACAAAAAAAGGTAGTAACAAAGAAGTTTAAGCAAGTACTACTGAAGTTATTCTGAAAATGCTGAAGCTTTTAGGTAGCTAGCCAGTGTTGAAGGAAAATTTGGCTTTTTGGACTTTTCTGAACTGTTATGAGGCAAGAGTCTGTAATTAATTGATAAAGGATTTACACGACGGTTTTAGACTTTTAAAATAGCTACAACCTACTGTAATGAAAATAGGGAATAAGCATGCTTTTTTGAAGTTATACTTCTTTAGGCGCGTTATAAAAAAATTATGGGAGTGAAATTTTAAGATGCGCGCGCATCTGTAACACAAAAAATTAACACCATGAAGTTGGTCGCTTTAGCGACCAACTTCATGTGCCGCGCTGCCATTACCGCGTCGCCCGCCGCACCGTACGCATGCGCGGCCACTCGCGGTCCTAGCGCGGGAAACACGTACAACAAACATCGGGAAAAGTTACGAGTTTTGAATTTAGAACAGAGACTGTTTTCATATCTATATATATAAAAATGAAACCCGTTTTCCGTTGTCACGACATAACATGAAAACGGCTTGACCGATTTGGCTGTACTTTTTTTTGTAGTTTTCTAATACTCTGTACAAGGTTCTTACGGAAAAAAATATAAAGAAAATCCCAAGGGGATAAAATAAGGAATGAAAGTTTGTATGAAACTTTATCAATTTTAAACCGATCGGGCTGAGACTTTGCATGCAGGTATAAGAAGAATCATAGATGAATGTCATTGTGTATAATACAAGCCTGAGAACAAAAACTGTAGTCTACACTTCAGCTCTACACCGAAGCGAAGCGAGGGCTGGCCGCTAGTTTTTAATATTTATCCACATGTTTCTAGTTTGTATATTCGGAATACGTGTTTGAGTTTCATACAAGTGCAAATCACATATGTTCTAATAAATTATATTCAGTAGCGATTTTAATTGAATATTTTGATTATTTCTTTATTTTTTCAAATTAAAACTGAACTTTATTGACTGTGTCTTTTTCCAGACTTTTTATTAATTTATTGTAATTAATTATTTGCATGCAATTAAAAACTATTTTAAACGATGCCAAAGAAGGATAACTTCTCACGCGCCTACATAAGTACACGCACCCATTTTTTTTTTATTTTTTATTTAGTAGTTTACATCTCCTTCATAAAATATTAAAAAAAACTACGTCGAAAACATTGGATAAAGTGCCTAAAAAAAGTATTAAAAATAGCCCTTTTGTACAGGCAGTTTAAACGCACGCTATTTAAGAACGCTTGGATGTGGATTTTCGATACATCTAAACCTACAAACAAAATCAATGGCCTTATAAGTCGCAGCACGAAACTTTAGCGCAGACCGTTATTGCACAGAAGTAAAAATTAAGATGTCTTGGGGTGAAACGAGGCGCGCGGGTGGGCGTGCGTTGCGCCTGTAGGAAGGCCAAAGGGGAGGATCTTCCTCCGAGCTGGATGATGTTAGCTCGGGGGCCGCGACCCGACTGATGTTGGTCGGGCATCGTATAAATGGAGAGTTTGGCTCCGAATTTCTCTTACGCGATGTAGGCTTCCATACGTATTAATCGCAACGCCGGTAGTGCCATCTCTTGAGGAGGCGAGTGACTATTTTCTCCATGTTGATTATATGTGGAGCATGTAGATGTAGCCGCCACACGTCGATTGGCTCTCCAGTCATACCCATGCATGCGCAGCTACCCCCTCCGCGTTTTGTTCAGCTCTAAAGTTACGTGCCGCGACCTGTATGGATATGAATTTGCGCCGTTTACGCTTAGATCCGGTGTACCACAGGGCTCCCACCTTGGACCTCTATTGTTTGTATTATTTATCAACGATTTGGTCAACTTGATTTCAAGCAATTGCCTTGCCTATACGGATGATATAAAAATTTACAGAGAACTTAGATATAAAGACCATTGTGAGACATTGCAAAGTGACATCAACCGTTTGTCTAACTGGTGTTTGTAATAACAAGATACTAAATATCGATTACTCAAATATGATGTCAGCTAACGCAGAAGCGAGCCGTGTATGCCGAGGTGATATGCTTTCCGAATCAATATTTTGTGATCCACCTTATCAAATGCCTTAGCGAAGTCTGTGTACAGTGAATCAACCTGTATTCGTTTATCGAAAGCGGTGCTAAGGTTATGAACATAACATAATAGATTTGAGGCAGTAGAGACCAACAAAGAGGATCTGACCAATCAACGGTAGGGATATTAAAGTCTCCCGCGATTAGCGTCTCGCTGCTACAAGAATATTTCACAACCATGTTTTACACAACTGTCAAGAAACACCTGAAAATAATCAACATACTAGTATGACAGCAAATAGATAGTTTTTGTTTTTAATCCTCTTACATTTTAAAAATAAATTGATAATACATCCATTAAAAATTACATAAAAAAGTGCATAAAATATTATTCATGAAAAGAAACAAAAAAGGTTTTTTATAATAACATTATGTCAATGCTTTTAATGTATTCTAATTTTTGACATAAATAAAAGGAGAAGTTTCATTTTGACGCATAAAAATTCGCCCATTTCGTACCCACACAAAGTAAGACAAATCCTTAGCCTTTGCCCTGGTGGCAGCATGAAGCAATATTAGCTGGAGAGAGGTGCTCCGATACGTAGACGGGAATATTGTTGCCAGCTATTCCCAATAGTACGCTTTATTTTGTATCCTTTATCTATAAATATAATTCAAAGTATATGAACTAAACATTGACACTAAACAAAATATATCAGTGAGGAGTAAATGCAAAATTTAATTGTGTACCCATTGAATGGTACGTGATTTCGAGTTAATTGTATGTATTGTGTTTTGTCAGTCCCGGCGCGGATCGCATCGTTCGGGCGGCGCGTGTGCGTGGGAGCCGGCCGCGCCGCCTTACTGGCGTGCTCCTGCGTCGGCGCGCCCCCGCCGCGCTCCCGCTGGCAGCACGCGCGCGCGCCCGTCACGCACCACGCCTACTACCAGGTCACGCACGCCGGACACCTGCACATACGCGGTGAGTGCCTCTCTACTGGCTGACTGACCATCACCACCTTACTGGCGTGCTCCTGCGTCGGCGCGCCCCCGCCGCGCTCCCGCTGGCAGCACGCGCGCGCGCCCGTCACGCACCACGCCTACTACCAGGTCACGCACGCCGGACACCTGCACATACGCGGTGAGTGCCTCTCTACTGGCTGACTGACCATCACCACCTTACTGGCGTGCTCCTGCGTCGGCGCGCCCCCGCCGCGCTCCCGCTGGCAGCACGCGCGCGCGCCCGTCACGCACCACGCCTACTACCAGGTCACGCACGCCGGACACCTGCACATACGCGGTGAGTGCCTCTCTACTGGCTGACTGACCATCACCACCTTACTGGCGTGCTCCTGCGTCGGCGCGCCCCCGCCGCGCTCCCGCTGGCAGCACGCGCGCGCGCCCGTCACGCACCACGCCTACTACCAGGTCACGCACGCCGGACACCTGCACATACGCGGTGAGTGCCTCTCTACTGGCTGACTGACCATCACCACCTTACTGGCGTGCTCCTGCGTCGGCGCGCCCCCGCCGCGCTCCCGCTGGCAGCACGCGCGCGCGCCCGTCACGCACCACGCCTACTACCAGGTCACGCACGCCGGACACCTGCACATACGCGGTGAGTGCCTCTCTACTGGCTGACTGACCATCACCACCTTACTGGCGTGCTCCTGCGTCGGCGCGCCCCCGCCGCGCTCCCGCTGGCAGCACGCGCGCGCGCCCGTCACGCACCACGCCTACTACCAGGTCACGCACGCCGGACACCTGCACATACGCGGTGAGTGCCTCTCTACTGGCTGACTGACCACCATCACCTTACTGGCGTGCTCCGGCTGGCAGCGGGCTCGAAGTGAGAACAAATTTCCACACATCATTATGATACCATAGCTAGCTAAAGATGTGTCCCGTCGCTTCCTGTATTTGTCGATCTCAAAATAATAACGAACATATAAAAATCACTAGCAATTGTTTTGATATAAATTATATTTGAAAACTTTTCCGTGCTTGCTGCATTTCTTTTATAGCGTATTTTTACTTTCTATCTATTCCAGAGGTCAACGAGCAGTCTTCAGGCAACTTCACTTGCACGGCCAGCAACTCCATCGGAGAGGACTCCATAATGTACACAGTGGTGGCGGTGCTCCCCCCGTCACCCCCCACGCTGTCGCTGCAGTACACCACCGCGTCAAGCATCAAACTTCACTGGCAGAGAGCTGCGGACGCCGTGGACCCTATATTGGGTGAGCTGGATAGCTAATGTCATCCCTTGTCAATAAAAGGTGGGATAGAAATCACTCATTGCAATCATCAAGATAAGAAAATATATGCTGCACCTTTTTCTTAAACATAATTTTGCCCGTGGACAGACCCGCCTGCTGCCTGGCCCGCGTGGATTTTTTTCTTGTACCTATTTTTATTTAAGATTTAAACATTTAGCAGTTAAATGCTTACAAAACATAAATATCAATAGATTCCAGTTACGATAAAAACGTGCCACTTTAGCCACCCTCGCAGTCTAAAACCATTTCCCCTCTCCCTTTCTCTTTGCAAAACTCTCCAGGTGGCACTGCAAGAAGAGTAGTTTGAAGATATATTTATACTTCCATATCTTTTAATTCAGCGGACCACTCGCGGATAGCATAGGTTGCCCCCGACTTACCATGGCCACCAATTTCCATACAAAAAATATTTGAAAGCAAATGCAAATGGATTACTTTCTCCTTCCTACAAATCAGATTCTTTGAAAGAGGCGTGAAGAAGCACCTTACAGACCCTCAAAGTTAGGATGGCTGCTGTTCAAATCTTCTGCATCAGCTCTTTTCGTCTCCACTGCCCCTAGACAGCAAGTAGTGCGAAGTCGTTTCCTCGGATCTTCCTTCATAATGTCCTTTCCGATTACTTAGCCAGTATTCCCTTATTTTGTATAGTGCAGCCCCGACCTTTAAAATTCACTTTGAACCAATTCATATTCTTTGTCTCAGGGTACCTTCTTCATTTCAAGCAAGCGTCAGAGACCGACTGGCACACGGTAGAGCTGTCGCCAGAAGTGACGTCATACACCATGGATATGCTCAAATGTGGGTCCACGTACAATGCCAAGATACAGGCCAAGAACAAGATATCTGTTGGGCAACCTAGTGAAATACTGACTGCTACCACGAGGGGTGGACGTAAGTAAAAGTTGTTAATTTTATTTTCCAGGAAAAAATATCTCTTATCTATTAGACAAGTCCGTCCGTCCGTCCGTCCGTCTGTCTGTGGTGCTGTTTCAGCGGCCAAACAGTAAGAAATAGATAAAGAGAATGTTTAAGTTATAAGTTAAGAATAGTCTGATAAGACTACAAACCTCATTTGAGTAACGTAGCGCTTCCGGTTTTCTAGAAATCACGAATTTCAAACGAAACCACACAAAATCTCCGAAGTTCTCAATTAATTAAATACATTTTTTTTAAATCAGGTTTTGGTGAACATTTGGTTCACTGGTTTGCTAGTATTTATTAATAGAAAAAAGCATGTTTCATTGAATCAGAACGTTAACGTGAATCATCATCAGCCTATTAATGTTCTCACTGCTGGGGCACAGGCCTTCCCTATGGATGGAATAGGGAGATTAGTCCATGACCCACCACGCGGGCCCAGTGCGGATTGGTAGGTACTGACGACTGCAGATGCAGCCGGGACCAACGGCTTAACGTGCCTTGCGAAGCACGGAGGAGCTCGAGATAGTAAATTTTTGGTCACCCATCCAAAGACCGACCACTGCGAAAGTTGCTTAACGTATACGATCGCAACCGAACGCGCTAACCACTTGCGCCATCGATCTCCTCGCGTGATGAATAATCTTTTCTAAACAGTTGTGGTGGATTTAGTTCCATATACTAATATTACGAATTCGGAAGGCTGTCGATTAAGCTTTCACGTCCAAAACGACGCACCGATTCTCCGGTAATTACAATATCTTATCTTCTCCATATCCCTGTATGTCGAAGTCGAAAAAGAAAGATTTTCAAAATAACAGGAGGTAACTAAGCACTTATAAAACAAATACGACTTCAGGTCCGAAGCCGCCAAAACCCGAAGAGCACGTGCACATGAACTCTACCGCGATAAAGATCAACTTCTACGCGTGGCGAGACGGCGGCTGTCCCATACTTGGCTTCAGAGTATCATATAGGAGAGCTGGAACAGAGCATTGGATCAAAGTAAGTTTTATCGCGCACTAAGGTAAACACAGTAAGGCAATGGAAAGTGACTTTATGAGTTACCTCATATTGAATCCATTTTTCAATTTGACGACTCTGTATATAATACAGGGAGAAAAAAACAGCCCTTGCTGAGTTTCTTGCCGGTTCTTCTCAGTATAAGGTCTCCCGCCGTAGATTTGCGAACCGATGGCGTAGCTTTTCGACATTCACAAGTGCTTGTAACAGCCTAGAATGAATAAACGATTTTGAATTTTGTCATTTTGAAGCCGTACCCGGATGGTAGGTAAAGAGAATAAACGCCACATGGATAGTCCTAATAATACATGTTATTTAAATATTTAAGTACTATCCTTGCTAAGTTTTATGAAGCTCACAAATAATTCTCGCATTTTGCTTTGGTATTTATAAGAATAGAACAATTAAAAATGAATATGTACATATTCTACGTTGGTAAACGAAGTTTAGATCATAGAACCCCCTATATATAAGTAAAATACAATTTTGGACATTTGTACAGGAGTAAGTGCGTCCTTTGTATCTTTTTTTATAGATAGGTCCGACAAATGACTCCACCCCACCTGATGTTAAGCGAAGATAGCTGATACAGCAGTTCTACCTGCCACACCAGCCATCCTCTTGTGTTAGTTCTTCATGCTCGAAACATCGAGGAGTCGTATCAATTTATTAAGCATCTAATTTATTGGATATGTTTTCAATTCGTAAACATTCGCACAATTGCGAAATCCTCGTTTTGTGGCCCTTAATTTCGACGTTTTCTCATCAGAATCGCTATTTTTTTTACTAATTGTTAACTCATCAGTTTCAGCCTAGTCATTGTATCTTACAGGTGGGTGATGAACTAAGCTCCGCCAGTCACGTGATCGGTGACCTGATGCCCGCCACGTGGTACGAGCTGGCCGTGGAGGCCTACAGCGACGCGGGTGCGGAAAGAGTCACGCTGCTGGCTGATACATATACGATAGCGGGAGGTAGGTTATTGTCGTATGATATCAGTTCAGCCAGTCACGGGATCGGTGACTTGATGCCCGCCACGTGGTACGAGCTGGCTGTGGAGGCCTACAGCGACGCGGACACCGAGAGAGTCACGCTGCTAGCTGATACATATACGATAGCGGGAAGTAGGTTATTGTCTTATTATATCAGTTTAGCCAGTCACGGGGTCGGTGACCTGATGCCCGCCACGTGGTACGAGCTGGCCGTGGAAGAGTACAGCAACGCGGGTGCGAAGAGAGACACGCTGCTAGCTGATACATATACTATAGCGGGAAGTAGGTTATTGTCTTATTATATCAGTTCAGAAAGTCACGGGGTCGGTGACCTGATGCCCGCCACGTGGTACGAGCTGGCCGTGGAAGAGTACAGCAACGCGGGTGCGAAGAGAGACACGCTGCTAGCTGATACATATACGATAGCGGGAAGTAGGTTATTGTCGTATGATATCAGTTCAGCCAGTCACGGGGTCGGTGACCTGATACCCGACACGTGGTACTAGCTGGCTGTGGAGGAGTACAGCAACGCGGGTGCGAAGAGTCTCGCTGCTAGCTGATACATATACGATAGCGGGAGGTAGGTTATTGTCGTATGATATCAGTTCAGCCAGTCACGGGATCAGTGACCTGATGCCCGCCACGTGGTACGAGCTGGCCGTGGAGGCCTACAGCGACGCGGGTGCGGAAAGAGTCACGCTGCTGGCTGATACGTATACGATAGCGGGAGGTAGGTTATTGTCGTATGATATCAGTTCAGCCAGTCACGGGGTCGGTGACCTGATGCCGCCACGTGGTACGAGCTGGCCGTGGAAGAGTACAGCAACGCGGGTGCGAAGAGAGACACGCTGCTAGCTGATACATATACGATAGCGGGAAGTAGGTTATTGTCTTATTATATCAGTTCAGAAAGTCACGGGGTCGGTGACCTGATGCCCGCCACGTGGTACGTGCTGGCCGTGGAGGCCTACAGTGACGCGGGCGCGGAGAGAGTTACGCTGCTGGCTGTCACAATTATACGGTAATAGGGTAGATAGGGTTTCCTGTGATCTATTGAACAATCTTAGAGAAATGAGACGATGTACTATGTTGTGAAATTTACAAGCAAAATATCTGAATCTGAATTTGAGCCTGTGGTTCTTATTAGAAAGTTCGAACGTTATCTAAATTTGAGGCTTTGACATTTAATGTTGCTATCGGGCGGGTATTCCGATTGTTTACCACCTTTCTTTATTTTATGCACCTGGCAATCATTTTGAGCATCAATCATAAACAAGGAAACCTGCACAGTAGCAACTTTTACGAATACTGCATAAGTTTGTTTGTCTATGCTGTTTGCCGTTACTAATACGTATATAAAAAATCCTTTCTAGGCCGTATTCCTCCGTTGAAGCCATCAGCACCGCTGGCAGGCAGCGCGCGCGGCGGCGTGCGTACAGCACTACTGGCGGCCGCCACCGCGCTGGCGCTGCTGGGGGCGCTGGGCGTCGCGCTGTGCCTGCTGCTGGCTCGGGGCAGGTGAGGGGCCTCTATACTATGATGTACAGGGCGGATCATGTCCTGCAGCCGTCAGTCCACGCGGCGCTGCTGGGGGCGCTGGGCGTCGCGCTGTGCCTGCTGCTGGCTCGGGGCAGGTGAGGGGCCTCTATACTATGATGTACAGGGCGGATCATGTCCTGCAGCCGTCAGTCCACGCGGCGCTGCTGGGGGCGCTGGGCGTCGCGCTGTGCCTGCTGCTGGCTCGGGGCAGGTGAGGGGCCTCTATACTATGATGTACAGGGCGGATCATGTCCTGCAGCCGTCAGTCCACGCGGCGCTGCTGGGGGCGCTGGGCGTCGCGCTGTGCCTGCTGCTGGCTCGGGGCAGGTGAGGGGCCTCTATACTATGATGTACAGGGCGGATCATGTCCTGCAGCCGTCAGTCCACGCGGCGCTGCTGGGGGCGCTGGGCGTCGCGCTGTGCCTGCTGCTGGCTCGGGGCAGGTGAGGGGCCTCTATACTATGATGTACAGGGCGGATCATGTCCTGCAGCCGTCAGTCCACGCGGCGCTGCTGGGGGCGCTGGGCGTCGCGCTGTGCCTGCTGCTGGCTCGGGGCAGGTGAGGGGCCTCTATACTATGATGTACAGGGCGGATCATGTCCTGCAGCCGTCAGTCCACGCGGCGCTGCTGGGGGCGCTGGGCGTCGCGCTGTGCCTGCTGCTGGCTCGGGGCAGGTGAGGGGCCTCTATACTATGATGTACAGGGCGGATCATGTCCTGCAGCCGTCAGTCCACGCGGCGCTGCTGGGGGCGCTGGGCGTCGCGCTGTGCCTGCTGCTGGCTCGGGGCAGGTGAGGGGCCTCTATACTATGATGTACAGGGCGGATCATGTCCTGCAGCCGTCAGTCCACGCGGCGCTGCTGAGGGCGCTGAGCGTCGGGAAGGAGCAGGTTGCCTCTATAGTATGACTGTAAATAATATCTACTCCGATATTTCCTATTCGCATAAGCATTTAAGTGTCTCCACTGCTAAATCAAAGGCCGGGGTCGCCCGGGCCCGCACTGGAATAGGCCATACCGCATCACGCCCAGTGCCGGTGGATAACAAAGATGGCAAGGCCCAACAACCTATCGAAACGTGGACTTTAGTCAGCAATACTATTGTCAATGGTCATTGCAAAAATTGCTTAACTTCCACGATCTATCATATCTAGCATATCCGATGCACTAACCACTGATAGTAAAGCTCCTTCAACTCACGCAGATAATAATAGAATCTTCATAAACTAGTTTTAGTCCAAATTTTATTGTTAATATTAAATAATGAACAATGTTGTTTTCAGATTTTCCTGTATAGCAAGTGATCATTACATGAGAGACGATAGAAAATTAAGTGAAAGTAACGAAGCTGAAAGAGAGAAGTTAAGAGAAGGACAGAAACTGTACTCATCATCGTCTATAAATGGCAATGAGAAATCGAATGACGACTCTTCGGGTAAGAAAATAAGAATTCAAACTTATTGAAAATGTTAGAGCATACTACATGTTACTATTTTTCATGGCTATTCGTATTTTCTATTTAAGTATTACTATATAGCAGTCTCTCCTTTCATTCCCTAAGTATAGATCGCAAACAAGAAAGGTAATATACTGTTTTAAACTTTCATGGTCACTAACATTATAGATATTAACGGGATTGTTACCATGTACCTTGTTTTTTATGAGTCTCCGATATTTCGGCACTGTTGCAAGCGCCATGATCACGGAGTCTCATAAAAAACAAAGTACATGGTAACAATCCCGTTAATATCTATAATATAAGGTAATATACTCTTGTCTAACTTACAAATAGCAAATGTGAACGGTCAAGTGAAGTGAAGTGCTAGGTTTAAACTGCAAGGAATCCAGATCGACGTCATGATAGGTACAAGTCCCGGCGCGTAACTCAAGCGCTGAACAAAACGCGCCACAGATAGCTGCGCATGGGTACGACTGGAGAGCAGAGCTTGAAACCGGTTTCGAAAATGCCGGTAAATAAAGGTTAATACCGGTTTTTAGTAAAGGTTTCGTTCGGAGCACGTCCGAAATGAAAGCGGTACCTAAAACCTTAATAAACCGGTTTAATCCAGAGAGACACGTGCACGAGTCGGCATCGCTTGAAGATTGTTTTGTTTGAACTAATCAAGTCACAACTTATTAATGCTCAGAGATTAATGCATTTATTGACACGTTTGCTAGCGTCTAGTGAGTCAAGTTATTTATTTATTATCGATGGCGTCAGTAAGAGCGAAATGAAACCCTTTAAAAACCGCTAAATTGATTCAAAACTTATTTGATTTCGCTTTTTAGGAAAATCGGTTTTTTTTAAGGTTAAGGTAGAGCCAAACCTAAATAAAACGCTCCTAATGCACTTGACACTGATTTAGGTTTGAAAATTAACCGGTAAACACAAGGGCGGATCCAGCTTTGGCGCCGGGAGGGGGGGGGGGGGGCATATAGCCAGCTTTGGCGCTAGGGGGGGGTCATATAGTCGTGGTATATTAAATATTGTAAGTACTTAAATAAAATCCCCCTGTGTTTGGTCCATCTGTACCCAGCACAGGGGGGGGTCATGACCCCCATGACCCCCTCCCCCCCCTGGATCCGCCCTTGGGTAAACAAGCCCTGCTGGAGAGACAATCGGCGCAACGCACGCCCACCCGCGCACCTCGTTTCCCCCCGATACATCTTCACTTTTACTTCTGCGCAATAATGGTCAGCGCTAGAGTATCGTGCTGCGACTAATTGTTACCGTGATCTTCTCTTGCTATGCAAATGAGGAAAGGAAGAGCAAATAAACAGCTCTCTCGCCCCCGTTGTACCGAATATACTATTGACTTGAATCTGACCGGTTTCGTGCGCACCGTTATTACTGCATTCGGTACTAGGGGCGCTCGCCGCCGCGGTGGATGCGGAAAAAGCAATCTTAAGTCTAAAGTCTTAATATTATCGACAGTGGAAATTCAAAATCGATTATACGCCACTTTGGTCAAAAATTTATATATCATTTGAGTGGCATGTTTTTTCTGCGTCGATTTGTTTATATTTCGTGATGATTTGAATAATATTTTGACGCTTAAGCAACTCAATTTTTTGAAGATTTTTATTGTTCACAACGCTCAAGTGACATATTTTTTGTTTTTTGAACCGATGACGCTTATGCCCTACTATTTGACGTATGATTTGATGTTTGGCTAACAAACAATTTTTTGCGGGCCGAGCGATTTTCGCTAAAGCGACATCTAATTCGTAAAGGCGCTATGTATTAAAAATATAAATATGTATTAAAAATAAAATTATATTCATAAAATAATATTTGGAAAATATTATTTTATGAATATAATTTTATTTTTATGGCGCTACTTCTCATTTGCTATAAGCTATATTTTTTTTGTTAAAAACAAACTTTGTTCCTCGTTTCTGTAAAGTCACTAAAGTGACGTTTAAGCGATTTTGCTTCTTCACTGTCGATAATGTATGGAGCTCAATGGTGCAAGAAGAGTTAGCCAGTGCGGCTGCAATCGTTGAAGTCAAGCAACTTTTGCAGTAGTCGGTCATTGGATAGGTGATCAAAAATTTACGATCTCGAGCTCCTCCGTGCTTCGGAAGGCACCTTAAACCGTTGGTCCCGGCTGCATCTGAAGTCGTTAGCACTTACCAATCCGCACTGGGACCGCGTGGTGGGTCACGGCCCAAAGTCCCTATTTTATCCTTAGGGAAGCCCTGTGCCCCAGCAGTGGGGACATTAATAGGCTGATGATGATGAATAATGTATCTGATGTCCGGCCCAACAGCGGAGTTGTACGAGATAAGCCCGTACGCTACGTTCGGCGCTAGCGCGGCGCACGCGCTTCAGTTCCGCACGCTCGCGCGCCGAGACCTCGACGCCGCGCCGCCGCACCGCCGCCGGCGCCGCGCCTGCGACCACTACCGATACGGTAAACAGACTCAGCCAGGGCTTGAAACCGGTTTCGAAAATACCGGTAAATAAAGGTTAATACCGGTTTTTAGTAAAGGTTTCGTTCGGAGCGCGTCCGAAATGAAAACGGTACCTAAAACCTTAATAAACCGGTTTAATCCAGAGCGACACGTGCACGCGTCGGCATCGCTTGAAGTTTGTTTTGTTTGATCTTATCAAGTCACAACTTGTTAATGCTCAGAGATTGATGCATTTATTGACACGTTTTCTAGCGTCTAGTGAGTCAAGTTATTCATTTATTATCGATGCCGTCAGAAAGAGCGAAACGAAACCCTTTAAAAACCGCTAAATTGATTCAAAACCCATTTGATTTCGCTCTTTAGGAAAACCGTTTTTTTAAGGTTAAGGTAGAGCCAAACCTAAATAAAACGCTCCTTATGTACTTGACACTGATTTAGGTTTGAAAATTAACCGGTATACAAGCCCTGGACTCAGCATCACCACAGCGGTGACACTCTCTGTACGCGAGAGTTCCAGCGTCAGTGACCTTGAGCAGGAGCGTGTTTGAGCGTGTTGAACCGAAATGGAATTTAGACTGCGCCAATGAATATTTATGCATACTTAGTAAGTTATTAAATGAAAACTGATTCAAGGATACTGGGGTAAATAATGAAGGATAGGTTTGATTTTATAATCAATTTTTAATCTTTTAATGTGGATACTATTACAAATTGCTAACTCTTACATATTTTCTGCTTTTTCGATTCGTTTTATAATTCTTATTATTATCTAAATAATAATAAGATTGCGTAGCGTAGTCAGTCCGTGCGTGCAATGCAGTGCAACGCTATTATTTTACTATTTCGCTACTGCCATGCCTTCGGTCGAGGCAGTCGGCGACTGCCCTCTCCACGCCCCGTGCGCCGCGCAACGCCCCCGCGCACCTCCAGACACCCACACATAGCCGCGGGCGATTACACGAGCACACATGCTTAAGTGTCCTTTCTTTTCGCGTAGTGTATATATTCTGTGGCATCACTCGAATGCGCCCCCACGAAAACGGCTTACTAGAGCCGAGCTCCGAGTCTTTTTATTTTTATTTCATTAAAAATTCTAACTAACTCCACGCGTACGAAGTCGCGAGCGGCCGCTAGTATCTAATATTCTGTCTTTGAAATTCCTGTATGAGTTGCCGAACGGCAGCGCTCCTGCCCTCCGCAGGATACGTTTAAAAATCCCGTTTTGTTTAAAACTTTTTGATTATTAGTATCTTCTTTCGGGATGTTTTAAAGGTTTTTCTCTTCGTAGCACTTTTTTGTTCTAAGGTCACGTGTCTGAAAACGCCTGGGATTGGCGTAGAATAAAATGTCGTCCTACGCTGGTAAACTTCTGGTCTGGTCGAACTTTAGCAACAGTGAATGAAATTTAAAAATTTTAAATAGAATCTATAGCTACTAATGTATATAAAAAAAACCGAGCGAGCCTTACAGTAGTCGCGTATAATGTGTAACATTTGAAAATCTCACCTCATATTAGTAAAAAAACAAATAACACCTGTTACAACAATAAGCCATTTCAACATTATGTTCTAAAATCAAATCAAATAGCGCGCGCTTTCGCGACTTCCTGTTACACACTTCTGTCCCATTTCACGAAATCACTCCCACAATTGCGGTAATGTCATCTGATTTGTACCTACTTGGTGTATAATTTTCAATAACGTACTTTGCGGCTATTATGTCCCTTCTAATAATTTCACTAGCCACTTTCGAAATATGAAACTCCTCTTCTTTTTAGGGTTCCGAAGAAGAAGACTTCACTAATGTCCGTCTGTCTGTCTGCCACCAGGCTGTTCGTCACGAACCGTGATAGCAAGATAGTTAAAATATTCACAAATGATACGAGTATTTAATTGTTGGCTCTGTAACACTCAATAAAATACTAAAAATAGAAGGAAATAAATATTTTCAACAAATTTTTGGATTAACTTTCTGTTCAACTTTATTCTGTTGAAGAGAATTTTTAACAAGTTATAGTAATCTGCATGATATTTTGCTATAAGTGTCTGTAAATCTGCTATAAATAAAGGAAATTATTTTATGAATTTCTCGATAATAATCAGTTGTCTGAGCAGCTATAAAATTCACGATAGAGTCATTAAAAGTTGGAGTATTGATGTACGAAATATGTCTTCACCGATTTTTGTTCAATATCGCCTGTTTTACTTGATCAGCTTCGAAACACAGCCTGTTCCAACCATCGTTGGAAGTCATCAAGTCTACGCGTAAGACGGTTCGCAATCACTCTTGAGAACAGCTTATACACATGGCTCAGAAGGGATATGGGTCGATTGTTCTTAAGTAGGGTCTTGTCTCCCTTTTGAAAGAACAAGACGACCAAACTCCTACTCCACGCCTCCGGAGTTCTCCCTTTGAACAGGACAGTGTTAAAAAGATTTTGGAGCTCCCTCAGTACGGGTTTACCTCGAGCCTCCAGAGTTTTGCTGTAACACCATCCTCTCAAGGGGCTTTTCCATTTTTAAGCTGTCCAAGAGTAATCTCGATTTCGCCAATACTGACTTCTGGCAGGTCTTCGATGAAGTGGCATGTTAATGAGGCTCTAGAATACTCATTTCGGGATCGGGTAGAGATGCATGTGATGCGAATAACTGGCCGTAGAAGTCTTCCACTTATAAAAGAGCTGCCGGCTTTGTAGCAACAACTTCCCCATTTGCTGTGGTCAACTTCGTCAGATGGCTGGGGAGATTTCCCTCCCCTATGTCGTTGGATGGTTATACTGCCACCGGTCGGTTTGCCAGAGCCTCGTCTGTTGGTCAACAGGGTACACCACGCGATGGTGAGGTTAGCTTGGGTTGTTGTAGGTGTATTTAGAACCCCTTACAACCCAAAATTTATTCACTGTAGCAAAAGTCCGAGGTCTGAACCCCCAAGCGCTTCACTAAAAAGACAGTTGCAACTCTAGCTAGGACACAATCCTATAAGCAGTTTCAACTGAAAAGTTACCAAAGAGGGAAAAATGTTAATTCAAAAAAAATCAAAAATTCAATATCGTTTATTCAGTCTAGGCTGTTACAAGCACTTGTGAATGTCGAATAGCTACGCCATCGGTTCACAAATCTACGGCGGGAGACCTTGTACTGAGAAGGACCGGCAAGAAACTCAGCAAGGGCTGCTTTTTTCTCCCTGTTTTATTTCATACAGTGTCGTCTAATTGAAAGTTGACATTAAACTTGCAAACATGTGTTGAGGTCAACTTCCATCACATAATGTCAAATATGTAACAATAGACAATCAACGAATTAACTAACAATAAGTGCAATTACCCGAATCCTCAATATTTTTATGACAATAATAAAAAAAGCAAAGAGCCGTGTATTGTGGTTTGGCAGACGAGTCGAGCTTGTCTAAATGCTCGACAGTGGAGGCGCGACATCGACTGCGCGCGCCCAACGCGCCCGCCTGGCCCGCACACGCCGCACACGCGCCGCACCCCGCACACACCGACAGCGACGACAACAGCGGCGACAACACCACCACTAAAGGTATACGGATACATCGTTACTTCCATAATAAACTTACGAATTTAAATTTCATAAAACGTACAACGCCAAAATATCGTATATTCATTTGGTAAGTTTACTTTGGGTGTATAAACATAAAATGCAGATTCAAATAATCGAACTTTTGGAACCGTCATTGACACAATTGTATGACTTTTCCCTGGTGTTAAGTACCCCATTATGAGCAGTTTTTTTATTATAGATTTTTACTAAAAAGCAGATTGGTAATGCCGTAGATGTGACGCAGGCCCAACAGTGGAACCCGCCTGGCCGCCCTGATGGGCCGTCCATACTGACAGCGACGACAAAAACAGTTGAACCACGATCTTGTGGCACTTTTATGACATTGCCGGGGGGGTGCTGCTGGTGAAATAAAATAATAATTCTCCACACTTATGTTATTACGTACGTTATCATTTGTAGTAACTCTAGTAACAGGAAATATAAAAGGTTGATTAAACACGGTCCTTTAAGTATAAAAAGGGTTATGTTTACCTCTCTAAAGTTAGTTCTAATTTCGGCCACGTGCCACAAGATCTTGGTCGCATAGTCTACGTTTAAATGCCCCACAGTACCACCCACACCGACAGCGACGACAACAAATTCAAATTCAAAAGATTTATTGTGAAATGTAGGTTAGTACAGCAATTTGGTGTTAGATAAAAAGTTTAGTGTCACTACATTTCGACCTTATTACAAGGTATACAATATTTTTTAAGTAATAATCAGATTTACAATTATATAAAATTCAAAATTATTATATTACAATTACAATCAACAAGTCATAGTTAGAAATAAATGTCAAAATATGTTTATGTCAAAATTACTAAGCAATATTTTTATGTCAAACTAAAAATATATAATAATAATAATAAATTGTGCTATAATAGGCTAAAAATATGAGTTAATTAGGTAATGATGTCCATTTCTTTCAAGGAAGTGTCACTAAGAAACTCTTGTGTAGTATAATATACTTTGTCAATTAACAGTTTCATTAAGCGTTTCTTAAAAATAGTCATTGGCAAACTCTTTATATTATTAGGTATTTTGTCAAAGATTGCAGTAGCCATACCAAAGACACTATTGCTAATTAATGCAGTTTTACGTTCCATTGCACATAATGTATTCCCTATCCCTCGCCTATAGTTCCTATGCGAATTCTGTTCTATAAATGGACGTAGTTACGCGAAAACGTTCCAACCCACAAGTCACTCGAAAATGAGTTACCATAACCAGGGTACTATTTTTTACATATTACATCATGTGCACACAAAGATAGTAGTATTTTTAGGTTAGTTTCATCAATAAAGTTTCACCCAAATGTTCCATCCCACCATTATGCCAAGGACGTGTACTCAAAATAAAGTAAAAACATTACATGCATACTGAAACATATTGTTAAAAACTCTTAATAGAATAACATATCGTTATAATGTTCCACTTGTCTTGGAACATTATACTAAATTCATAAAACGCACATTTAATTGTTACTTAAATGATCCATGTGGGTTGGAACGTTTTTGCAAAATCTTTATACATTTTTTATTTCTGCAAAAATGTTCCATATAATTTAAAATCTTTTAGATTAATCCATACTGTTTTTTTTAAGTTGCGAACCCTGTTCTAAATAAATTGGAACGTTTTACTATAATATATTATTTTCTAATATTTTGCTATAAACGATCCACAATTACTTGATCTATTTTTGCTATTAAATATGTTCTAGAGAATAAAATATTTTTAACCAAAATAAATAACTATGGTATATTTGGACGTAGTAACGCGAAAACGTTCCACCCCACAGCGACAACATTTTGAGATAAACGCAATTTTGTGTTTTAGCGGTACACTTTTACCCTGTAATTTTTTCAGGAAAATACTATTGGTTTTACTGTGGAATGCCAAGCTGGTTATTGAATAATATGCATATTTTTTGTAAATACATAATACAAGGGACATATAAATAGGTAAAACGAGTTTGAAACGTTTTTGCTAAATTTAATTTTGTATGAACCTTGTTAAATAGCAATTATGCATAAACGTTCCTAAACGAATTTAAGTGTATTATTTTTATAAATATATCTAAAAGAAATATGTAAAATAATAAATAACAATGAGGAACATACAAAAACAACAAAAAGAAATTTAAAATGTATTACAAAAAAAAATTGAACGTGATCTTTTGAGCTTAGAACCTATGCCAAAAATTAGCTGATATGGTTCCAAAAGTTATCAAAAACTTACATTATAAACATTCAATTTTCATCATCGTATTCTATGATCTCAAAGCCCGGAACTCCACCAAACCCATCATCATCATCATCAGTAGCTTCTTCAGAACTTTGAAGCGTTCTATAAAATTGAAGACAATCCTCAGGTATGTAGTGGTACATGGATTGTAAGTCCACTAATTTCGCTGGAGCAATTGGTTTGCCATTAGGCCACAATAAACAAAAATCAGGTTCTTTTATGTATTGCAGTTCTAGCTTTATTCTTTTATCAATTTTCAACTCATTGAAATTGTCTTCAATGAGTTGAAAATTGATATTCGTTTGCATAAAAATAGAAAACATTTTATCTTTATCCAACTTAATTTCTTTTGTATGTAGCCAACTAAGATTAGTTGTACTAAAAAAATCAGTTTTTGTCATTTTGTAAACATAAAGAGGTTTAACTTTTTTACAGGTTTTAATAATATTGATGTATTCTTCAGGTGTATATACGCGTTAATGGGGCTTGAGTGCGGTTTCAATTTTTGTGAAATCTTTGTCAGTTGGTAAGAAAGTATGGCCAGACTCAAGGAATCGGCATGATGTAGTTTTCAAGGTTGGATGAGAGCTTAAAGCAAATGAAGAGAGATTTTGAGCAAGCACAAAATTCACCCTCAGTGGAATGCTTAACCTTTGATTTGAAGAAAACATTGCCTTTACCCCGCATTCACGAATATTGCATTGCACAAAAAGCAGTTGTGGTTCTACAATAGTGGTATCCATAGTGCATCTCATGATACTGGGCATTGTTATGTTTGGGTAGAAGGAGAGGCAAGAAGAGGCGCACAGGAAGTAGGTTCGTGCCTAATAAAATATATAAATCAATAACTAAAACCCACGGCTGAACATTTAATCCTATGGAGTGATTGCTGTGCTGGTCAGAACAGAAACATCAAAATCGTCCTAATGATGAAACCCATCTTACATACACAATCAATACATTTTCATTTTTTTTATTGTTTTTGTATGTTCCTCATTGTTATTTATTATTTTACATATTTATTTTAGATATATTTATTAAATAATACACTTAAATTCGTTTTGGAACGTTTATGCATAATTGCTATTTAACAAGGTTCATACAAAATTAAATTTAGCAAAAACGTTTCAAACTCGTTTAACCTATTTATATGTGCCTTGTATTATGTATTTAGAAAAAATATGCATTTCATTCAATAACCAGTTTGGCATTCCACAGTAAAACCAATAGTATTTGCCTGATATAATTACAGGGAAAAAGTGTACCGCTAAAACACAAAATTGCGTTTATCTCAAAATGTGGTCGCTGTGGGTTGGAACGTTTTCGCGTAACTACGTCCAAATGTAGGAAACAGTGGCGACAACTAAGTTAAACAGCTGCATACAGTTAACTCGTTCCAATGCACCTTACGTCGTGTTCACTCTTGGGAAACTTGGGGAGCCACCGTCAGTCGGTTTTCATTCGTGCGTCAAAAAAATAAGGAGCGGTTACATACGACAGTATAAACATACAGACGACAACAGCGAAAGCACCACTACTGAAAATATTTTTTTTATACGAGACGCAACAAGTTATCCAACATCACCTGATGTTAAGTCTAAGTAGATGATGAAGAAGTGTGCTGCTCCAGCCATCTTCACCTTGCCGGCCTGAACCCCATCCTCCACCACGCGGAGCCCTAAAACCCTATCCACCAGCAGCAACACAGCACCACCAAATGGTAGTGTTATTTTACTGTAGTCTTCTGTAAAGTGGAGGTTACTCCCTCAGACGTGCTCTCCAATTTTAGCGGGAAATTCACTGTGCATTACCTCTCCTTTTGTACACGGATTGATGCCCCACAGCGTGGAGCCCGCCAATCCTGCAACTAGGTTTACCAACTTTTTTTTCTATCAAATATAGTATTTTCGAAGCTTACATTATTAAAATATTTACTTTTTTTTTAAATAAATATATTTTTGATTCTCTACGTCTTAATAATTAAATATAGTATTGGATCCTTAAAGTAGGCTACTTTATTATATAATAGGGTTGGCCACCTTTCCGGTACCCACACGACGCTAACATTGCCACTATATAGAAGAATTTAAAATAATTAAATTCCTTAAAGATAATAACCGGATTTTTACCATGTACCTTGTTTTTTATGAGTCTCCAATATTTCGGCACTGTTGCAAGCGCCATGATCACGGAGTATTCCTATTTATATAACACCCTACTAACAAACTCTCTTTAAAAAAAGTCAACAATAAACAATGGGAGCGGATACCTACCTAATTACTTAAAACGTAGTAAGTGATTCGGTATCTGGAATTCTGGAATAGGTTAAATAAACAGGAATATTCTGTAGGTACATAATACCAGCGAACCGTAGTTTGGACTTATTCTTAGTAATCTGTGATTAGGAGTTAGGAGCATTCCTAACCTAACTAAGCTAGGGACACGAATAGTATCGATACTTTGAGGTATCGAGTACTTTTCCTTTCGAAACCGATACTTTTGTACTCGATACTTGGTTTTCGATACTTCAACTAAATGAGTACTTTTTGGCAAGCGTCATACCTTTAAAATTTTGGATAAGCGCCTTATATTGATATGGAAACGCCATCTAGTGAAAGAGGGATGATGACTAATTTTTTTTTTCTTCGTTTATCAGGTAGATTATCAAAAAGTATTGGACACAATTTTTTTCTTTTTTCATATAATATATAAACATTGCAGAGATATATTGATTTGAAAAGTCACATGACGTCACGTTTGAGTACACTTTTAAGCGAATATTCACTAAAAAGTGACGTCACGAGCCCCTACTCCCAAACTTTGACGCGCTGTAACTTTGTCATTTTTTGGTTGATTGCCCAAAGAAAAAACACGTGTCCATTATTTTTTGATCATTTAACTGACGGACTAAATAGAATTACGTTTACTGTACCCCGTCATCACCCCTATTATAGCAAACACTCTAAAACATTCCATTGCGTTGATATAATTGGAAGCACAAGCAATCTAGTGTGTTCTGAGACTTACGTACTTGAATTACGCACGTTTAGTTTTGCAGTTGATTATATTACTATTACACATTTTAAGAGTAGGTATCTACATAGTATAGAAATTTGTGAATTTACATGTCCTTTTTTTGTTTTTGATTATACATACTATAATTAAATTAGATTGTTTTTCTTTTAATTTTATCCCGGGGTGAGGGGGGGCGGGTTGCTCATAAGGCCCTATGAAATGTACTGGATACTTCGAAGTATCGATACTTTTGTTTCAATACTTTTACGAGTACGATACTTTTTTTTTCGATACTACTCATGAGTACAGTATGCATACTTTCTATTCGATATCGTGTCCCTAACTGCAGTTTGTCGATTTTGAAAAAGTATAAAGTGTTTTTTAAGGGCCGGTCACGGTTTGTGCAGTATAAAAAGTTTTTTCTTTTCTAAATGCCTTCGCACTACTTGTGCATTTAGCCAATGTCAAGTGTTAAAATGTTTACAAATACTATAGCACTCGTGGTCAAAGTAATAAATCAAGTCAAAGTAAGTGGCAGTCAAGTCAATCCCACTTCCCTATGTTTCAGTAAATGTGTGGGGATTTACTGGAACCTCCCCGTGGACAAACTGAGGGAACGTCGAAAGACACTTTCCGCTATTTTGTTTCACTTGCCAACGCTTGTACACGTTTCCGAACACTTAGTGGTTAATAATCCACCATTATTAGACACTAACATCCACCACAACACAATTTTTAACAAGAAAATCAAAACTGCTAAAGTGACCCATCCCGGTCCCGCCAAAAAGTCTCTTAAAAAAAGTTTGTTCGTGCTCTGTTCAGTGTGACCAACCTTAAATTATAGATCCTGCTCCGCTTAGGCAAAAAAACTGACAAATCCTGCCAAACTTTTATGCACAAAATGCCGAAATAATGCCAATACAATTTTAAAATTTAAAATAAATAGTCACATGATTTTTTTATATTTTTATTTTAAATAGTTATACATTCGTATTAGCCTCGTATTCTTTTTGATCAATTTCTTTATATTTTTAATCATATAATTTGTTGGCTGGAATGAAACGCAGTCACTATATTCTTAAATGCCTTGTTTAACATGCAAAATAGAGGCGACATGTTTATTGATAAGTCTGTTCCGGGTTTTTGTTTTTATAAGGTTGATTTGCGAGAATATTCTTTCACAAGCAGCATTCGACATTGGCAAACACAACAAACATTTTACAAAATTGCAAATATTTACGTATTTTTAGTTACCATTTGAATTTCATATTTACCTTTAATGGTAATATGGTAACCATTCACACACACCACCCGAAATCAGAAACAAAACAAATCTGTGTCTCCGACAGTTTTTCTAGTCCGACTAATTACATAAACAACTGACAAATGAAGATATAGGTAATATAAACATTATGCTCCGCGCTTTAAGGTTCACAATGGAATGAACTACAAATTCAACTAGAGATGTTATGGGAAATCCCCGAAACAAAGGTATCGTTGCCAATGTTGCCATTGGCATTTTAAAATTCCTACCTACTATTTTTTCGTTTGTCGATCCGCACTCTACTCATATTAAAGGATGTATTGCCAAATATATAAAAAAAAGCTTATATTGCACCTTTATATAACACTTTGAACGCCGTCAGGCAATCTAAAGATTATCCTGCAGGACGATAATTTCTATGAAAAAAATATAAAGTGATCGGCATGGCGTCCAAGGTGATAAACTGCCAAATACTGCCAGATTTCTAAAACGTCAAACAAATATGCCAAAGACGAAAATAAAGGGCTAAACCTGCCGAAAAGGCAGGATCCTGCCACATATGGTCACACTGGCTCTGTTATTTGACATTATCAAATTAATGTTGTTCCTATGCATCTTAAAGAAATATATATTGAGTCGATCGATTTAAATCAAGTTAAAAAATATTGTTTAAAAAATATTTGTAATGAATCTTATTCTTTTGTGTAATAAAAATTCTATTCCTTTATCAATTATGAATTTGAATTATATATGGGTAAGTAAATGAATAAAAAAGCCCATTTTACGCATTGGTTAATTCTAATGAAAAATAAAGCTACACGAGGTTAATTTTCATAGAGGAAATCTATAATATACACCAAAATTTTTCATTCATACTTCTCTTCACGCTGAAACCGCTAATGCTGTTTAGATGAAATTCTGTATACGTATTGTTTGAGTACAACTGGTTGTTTCTGTAATTTTTTTTTTTGTAACGATGTCTATTCCCTTCATATTAGACCTTCTTGGCCAACAATAATTATAAAATCTTCTTAAGGTTTTTATTTAGTTTGACTTCAATACCATCAAGGCTGTCAATAAAATATCTTATTGTCTGTCAGTCTGGCAGAGACCTTGTAAAAGTAAAAACAATTTTCTGTTATTGAATTATAAAATCCAAATATTAAATCTTTTAAAAATAATAAAATAACTTATTTTCAACCTACAGTCTTTTTTATTTATTTCTATCATTAATAAACCGTTTCAAGCTTATTGTTGGCGAGTTATTATTTTAAACCCAAAAGGTATTAACTAAGTAAGGGAGATCATTAATGTAAATTAGAAACAACAAAATACCCAATATTGATCCCTGTGGCACACCCATGACTACAGGGCGGGCTCTAGTAGACTTGGTTTTATTAATGTCAAGTTTTTGCATTCAATCAGATCTGAGGCCAACTGATTTGACAGAACTAACCAATGTCCTTTCCCAAGACTCAATATATCTCTATATCAAAACTAATCTAAAACAAGTCAGCAGTTTAAGCGTGAAAAAGTAACAGACAAACACACTTTAGCATTTATAATTAGTATGGATAGAATTGATAATGCCCAATTTGATATTATCAGGATCGGGCGGGTCCCCGTGCGGCAGCACGTACGGCAGCGGGCGGCGCAGCGCGCGCACCACCAGCAGGTAGAACTCAGGTACCTCCCCCGCCACTCCGCCACGCACCTCCGCGGTACACGCACTAGCCATAGCCATAGCCATTCATTTTATCAACGTGGGTCTATAGTTCTGGTTTGAATCTCAACATCTAAAACTAAATTTAATAGTAGTTTTATCTACATATTCTTCATTTTTAAAAATGTAAAGAGAAACTGCTGTCAAATTAGTTTTAAGATTTGAGAAGAATACCATTATTTGGCTCAACATTATTATTTAAGAACTTCAAGTATTGACGCAGTTCTCTTAATAAGAAATATAAATATACCTATATTATACGATATTAAATTATTTCAAATATACAAAATTAATTACATTTTCATCGTAGTTACGTGGTAGACCCTGGCATGCAATTTCAATTCAACTTAATGTAATGAGAGTTTATTTGCCAATGGGCTATTTGACGTTGGTGTATGTATTTACATGAATATTGGAAACGATTCACTATTTGGACAAAAAAGTAGTTGATGTTATTACAAAAAGTCATGAAATAGAAAGGTATTCTTTGGTCTATTGTCACGTGGCCGGTAACGCCTAGGATTGGCGAAGCCTGAAATGACGTCACCTGCTTATAAACATATTCTCAAAAAGACATTAAGTTGTTCCGATTGATTTTAATGAGTGTCATGTGATGTCTTTAAACACGCCATATTTGCTAGAGAAACGTTTCCGCGGCAAATTTGAAGTCATATTTTTTTCGTTTTTTTACTCTACACACAATAATAAATAAAGTATGAACGTTCTCAAAAACTAGTCAAATGGCCTATTGAGTATACAAAAACCTATTACTTAGTTGCCATAATTTGACGTCGTTTGAAGATTTGTTTGTTGATGAGTAGGTACATTGAGTGTTAAATTTTGTAACATACAATCTGATTTATGAAGAGTGTAATCGTGATTTTTGTTAAATATCAAATATCATGTCCCAGTACAAAAGCTTACTAAAAAATAACCTCACTTCTTAAGCTTCGCTTCACATTAGACTTAGATTTTAATGTTAAAACATAAATTTTGACCTAAAGTACTATCGTTTTACAGCGGAGGCCCAAACGGGAGCGACGGGCTCTCTGGAAGTTTCGCTCCAGCCGCTCCAGATATATCTTCTTTAATTGATAAGTAAGTTAATCATAGCTAGAAACTGTTGCAACATTATTATTTTTATTTTAAATTCTTAAGTAATTTATTGTCTTTTTTCACAGATACCAGCAAAGGAAGGAACAAGAACGTCGGGAATGTACAATTCATGTATAGCATTCCATGGTCCATTATTAGATTAAGAAATTAAGCCAGACTTTAAAATAAATTATTTTTCAAATAATTATTCAATGGGTTTATCCGAACAATGTATCGTTAATGTCATGTTGTCACGTTGTTATTGACATGATTACCTATTAATTTAAGCTATGCTTCAGCATTTTGAAATAATTCAGCTAAATGATATTGTGACCCTGTTATTAAATTACTGTTGTAATTAACGTACTAATATGTGATTTTTATTTATATACTGTTAGTCAATGACAATTTAGATTTTAAAATTGATGCAATTGTAAATAATAATAAATATAGGATAAAAAACTAAAATTGTGTGCTGTGGGATTGTTAAAAATTATAAAGATTTTACTGAAACAATAACGGGGGAGTCATGAAATGGCACTAAAATATTATAAACACATTTTTTATAACCTCATAATAATACCCATAAAATAAAATTATTTTTAAGGAATTTTGCCTAAAGTATTTCTAAAATGTAAGTACTTATGTCAGTAATTTAAAAAAATATATACATGCGCTCTGATACAACCATGTTCTTTGATTAAAAAGCATTACTTTATTAAATGTTTTTAGGCCACTAAAATAAATAATCTCACAGTATCACTATAATTTCACAATGTTTCAATTATTTAATATGCATAAATGCATATAAAAATGTTCGTGGATATTTTGTGTATTCGTAAGTGATGAGGAAGAATGAAATTTAAAATTAATGGCTGTTCCAAACTGCAAAAGATACATATCATTAAAATAGACTGCCAATTTAATTAATAAGGGATTCGTATTTCTTTTACTGTATTGTTGATTAATATAGGTAAGTAGATATAATTATACACTATTGTATAAAAGTCTTTCTATATACATGTTGTGTAATAATGAAAATATTAATTAGGGAGAAAGAGGAAATAAAGATGTGTGTTGTGGAACGAAATTTGATTATTTATTTGCCCGCAGTAATTATTTGTTATTAAAGGTTACTTGATATGGCATTTTAGACTTTAGTGAAAAAAGTGTGACATAGAACCTAATTTCAAAACTGGTAAACATTTTCTGACCGCCACCGCACCTTGTTTTTTATGAGTCTCCGATATTTCGGTACCGTTGCAAACGCCATGATCAGGGAGTAACTAACAATATACCTATATCATAGGTCTAAAGGAGTAAAATGTGCTATTGACTGCTATATCCCCTTCAAGTCAGCTGGCCCTGATTGTTTCTCCGGTGCTACTACAATAAGACGGACTACTTCATGTCTGGCACATCGTTACATTCTACATCTGTGGAGGGACGTCAATTTATACCCAAACCGACTAAAATCGACGGACTATACTAACCCCAAATTCTTATTAAAAAAAAATACTAATGACAATGAACTTAAGACAACGGAAATATTATGTGACAGGTATTTCTAACAGGGGGTGGAATGTCATTCCAGCATTTAGTTGCTTGATTGCGGAAACTTCCTGTGAAACCAACAGTTTGAAAGCTGATCTTGGAATAGCTGGCCCATAAGCATCTTTAAAAGAATACAGATTGTATGTACCCTTAAAAATAATGATACATAGATTATACTAATTCGGACAATTCAAAAGAGTTGCATTAAGCTATTTTTCTTTCAATTTCGTTAGAATATTTAAAGATATTAATAATATTGCCTACATTCACACCAATTAATTAGCCTAGCCCAAAAATAATCATTGTAATACTTGTAATAAGGGATGCTAGGGTAACGGATAGAGTACATAAAACTATTTGATAAAAACAAGTATATTTAAATAGAAATATGTATTACACATTAAGGTACAAATGCTAGTATTCATAATACATTTAATTTTGCCCCCGTCAGGATTCGAACCCGGGAATGGACGACACTTTGTCCGACACTAAATTTGTACCATTTTCTTTAATTATATTTACCAAAACCCTAATAATCTAATAATATTTACAAATATTTACCGATATACTTTATACCTACTCTAAGGTAAGGTTTTTTGGTAGGTTGAGCAAATTCTGATTAGAATAATATTTATTAATAATAGTTAATATTAATAGGAAATGGAAACATGACATTAACAAATGATTAGCTTGTATTAACTACACGAAGTTTTAATAACGTTTACCATCGCCTCAAAGTCGACATGAGACTATGATCATGCAAACTAAGTAGGTAGTCAAATCACGTGACTGGACATCACTAGTCGATTTCCCAATTTCTGTCAGTGTTACCAACTTAGGACATTTTCTCCAAATTTGGGGGTAAATGGTAGTAGAGGGGAGATTGGAATGGTCAACAGGGTTCTACCTTAGATCATACCAATGGAGATACCATGCCGTTCAATCACCAAATAATTTTTACCCATTTTTAGCGGGGGACGAGGTACTCCCGTATATAGCACACTAGCGAAAATATGCAATACTCGCACAAACACGAGCGTGTTGTTGCTATAAAAACACTCCGAAATGCGCACCAACAAGCACACACTCCAAAATTCACGTCACACAAATAAAAAACGCACACACGCTAACAATTTTATGAAACTATGCAATAGAAATGTAAAGAATGAACGATATTTGAATGAACAGTTCTGCACGAATGAACAAAATGTTTGTTTATAATGAAATCAAAAAGTTTAATTTATCTATTGATAAATGTAACACATCTATTACAGAGTTTACATATCTTTAGTACTTATGATTTTATACACTTTTTTTTGTTAATTAAATTGCTGTGCAAAAAATTTTTCGAAATGCGTTCGCTCCTTTTATCGGATACCCTGCCTATATTTAATTCCTTTTGCCACCCTTAATAATATCAAACGGAGTATTTTGCAACAAAACACTGCGATAGCGAATTCATAGAATTCAGTGAATTGAGGTTATTTGTTTAAGAAGTTAATAATTTCATCATGTGTGATAAATTAGAAAATACTCAGTAATTCAAGCTTCCGGCAAAGATCAATTCCATTCTTTCAGCGACTGCTTCGCTAGCACTCGCTTAATCCAAAATTATAAAAAAAAACTAAATATTTCAGAAATACGTATTGAGTACGTATGCACGTGCAGAGCTCGATAGCTCAAAAATCAAGAATAATTACCTCCTCTCTCCCACGAGCAACTGAGCTTAGTTATTGCACTTGTTTTTTTATTTCGAGTGTAATTAACAAAACACGCATATCGATACATATCTAAGCTGGTAGTTTTCTTAGGAGATCCGTACATGAAAAGCAAAAATCGAATTCCATTGGTGATAATTTCTTGTGGTGTTGAATTACTTTTTAAAAAGTTTTATCACATTATTGTTATTTTTATACTTATGTATATTTTATATTTTAAACGCAAGTTACAATCATCGATAGATTTTTTTTTACTAAAATTACAGCTACGATACTTGACGTACATAAGTACGTACGTGTATACATCACTGTAGCTGAACATAATAAAATATGGTGATAATAAGACAGTATTCTTAAGAATATTATGACGCTTACAATTTTTATATTGTTATAGCTCACTAACGGTGCCTCTTAGAAAAAGAAATTATTAATACCATTTGTCCTGCACATCTTGAACAACAGGATCCGTCACTATTTGGATTGGCAAATTCCACTCCAACAAGCTGGCTTCGTGAATGGAATGTGCACAAGAGAAGAAATCCTAAACGACAGACAACTCATTGAGAAATGCTACGAATGTAACACCCCTTTGGTCCTGTGCTTTATCGACTATAGTAAGGTATTCGACTGCGTTAATTGGAACAGCCTATGGAACGTGACATCTGACCTCGGCGTACCTCAACATCTTGTCTCGCTTCTTTGATCACTATATACCAATAACTGATGACATCACACTCGTTGCAACTGATGAAGCTGAAAACTGCTGGAACGATTAGAACGAGTGAGTGGAGAACTTGGCCTGTCGATCATCGTGTCGATAACCAAAGTCATGGTCATAGATCGAACAAAACAACTGGAGCTGTGAGATACTCAATCTCCAATATGTGGACAGCTTTGTGTTGCTTGGTTCTACCATATGTAGCGATGGCTCATTCGAACTGAACATTCGGAACCGGATTGGAATGACAAAAAGCGCGTTGACCCGATTAGGCAGGATCTGGACAGATAGATCGATCTCACTAAAAAACCAAGATTGGCTTGGTGAGAACTCTTGTGTTCTCCATATTCACCTATGGTGCGGAAACATGGACCCTCAAGAAGGCAGTCAGGTCTCTAATTGACGCATTTGAGATGTGGTGTTGGAGGAAAATGTTACGAGTTCCGTGGACAGTCCACCGCACCAATGCGTCAATTCTAAAAGAAGTGGGAGTCACCGTTAGGCTATCGACAGTCTGTCTGCGTAGGATCCTCGAATTCTTCGGACACATAGCCAGGAAGAAAAACAATACCCTTTAAGTACTCCTGGTGACAGGAAAAGTACTGGGAAGGCAACCAAGAGAAAGAAGCCCCATGCGATGGACAGATCAGATCAGCGACAACACCAAAACGCAATGCAGTCCACGCTGCCGAAGACCGCAACAAGTGGAAAGCGATCGTCCATAAAATGATTCGTCGAGGTCATGACCCTCAGCAATGAGGAGCACGACACAAGGAGGAGGAGGAATACCATTTTGAAAGATAATTTTATGATCTACAATTTTCGTTTAAGATAATTTTGTGATAAAAATTACCGTATTGATGAAAATAGCGACAAAAAAAACCACATTTTTTTACTTTTGACCTCAAGTAGTTTTTTCCATGTACCTGAACGATCAGAAAATTTGAAACGTTATATTTAATTATGTACTAACTTTTAGCTTGATGTGAATTTATGTACCTTCACTCTTATTTTTTTTCGCCTACTTTGACCAGATTACTAGAATTTATTAAAACATTTAATTTTGTTTATTTCCTTTTTTTATCTCATAACTTCTTAAAAAGTTTATTAAAAAATTCATGCTCATGTTTAACGCTCCCAAATCTCATACATGTTAAAGTGGTAGCAGATCATATTAAATAGGTATTCATATTTAAATCAATTAAAATTTAGATGTGCTTGGGCATTTCAATACTATCCAATACCTACTATTATACTCGAATGACTGCGATTCCTGGATTCAGCTATCCAGCAGTAGCAATTTAGGCGCTGTCAGCCCTACTTAGCTTAGAGGATAAATATTTTTCAGTGTTGGTAACACTGACCGTCTGCGACGACTTTGTCCACCTACTTTTAGATAAGCGAAAATGCATTAAAATTTACGTTTTTTATGATAAATAATGAATGAAAACAATAACAAAATAGAAATAAATTAATAATATGAGCTATGTCATATAAAAAGTTGCAGTGGATTAATGTTATGTGTGAAAACCAGCTTTGTTTTGGTGCCGTTCACTTATATTGATTTATTGTATGCCACTGACCTGTATTTAGTATTTGTAATGTGTAACTCGTAAATAATTAATAAATCCACTAAGTCCCCTTACAGAATGTTCTTAAAAAAATACTCCATATAGTAGATTGTGTATGAACAGTGATTAATGTGGTGAAAATGGGGAGCAACGAAAATTTCTGTGTACAGTGTTAAGAAAAACTGATGAATAGCCTTCTTTTCGTTATGGTGTGTATGTTACAAAATGATGACGCCTGTTGAGGAGAAAAAAGATGAAAAGGTATGTTACATTTAAATAAATATTCTCATAGCTATTGTCTAATAACTTCTAGTCATGCTGGATTGCCTGACCTCTAGGTCCAGGTTCAGGTCTTCCTAGCTGAAGAATTACAATGCCTCAGCTACTTACATACAGGATAAGGCTATGAGACTTCTTTGCTATTGATGTATTACATCTTTGATGCTTACTCTGCAGAAGATATGTAGTTAATTGTATTCTGCAGTACCATTCATAATTTCTCTATTAATTAAAATTATACTAGAAGCATTTGAAAACTTAGAACTGCAAAAGGTATTGCAAAATGTAATTATCTTAATTCAGTAGTGTTAACTATTTTATAAGTGTATTAAGTCTACTGATATACTTTTATTGATGACAATAGAACAGCCAAAAACATATAAGAAATATTTTCGTCACATCTACAGCAAACTTACGAATCTGATATTTTAGTAAAAATGTATAATGAAAAACTGCACATAATGGGGTACTTAACACCAGGGAAAAGTCACACAATTTTATCAATGACGGTTCCAAAAGTCTGATTGTTGAATCTGCATTTTATGTTTATTCAGCCAAAGTAAACTTACCAAATTAATATAAGATATTTTGGCATAGTAGGTTTTATGAAATTCAAATTCGTAAGTTTGTTATGGAAGTGACATTTTGTTTTATGGTGTGTAAGTTAACTATAATATTGGTAAGTTAGCCCTCCTAGCATGAGCAATATGATATATAACTCGTTTTATCACCCTCAGTTGTTAAATCACTATGGAATTTGACAGTCAGATGCAATAAAAAACATGATATGGTGTAAATTCTTGTGCTCATGCTACAGAAGCTGGTGTTTTGATGTACCATTTTTCATTTTCTATTTTTGATTTGCAATTAAATATTTAAATGTGACTGTCGATGATGATACTGTGCAGATAGTAAAAGTATAAATAAACAGTGCAACTATGGAACTTTTTGTAGATGATATACTGACAATTAGTCACTGTAGTTTCTACAATCATTTTAACAGTCTGACATTGTATTATGATCCTTAACACCAGGCAAAAACAGCAGTCTTGCTCTAAAAATAAAACTTGCCTGACATAAAGAGACACAGATGTAGGTGTGAATAAATAATATGGCCTCTGTTCATGGAAATAAGTTGTGGAGCTCTGTATTTGTCATACAAAAAAGATGAAAAACTGTTAATGATCTGAGTAACCAAAACAATTTAATTTAGCCACTGACAGAAGCCTTCTATAAAGATACTAGCTGACCCAGCGAACTTCGTACTGCCATAAAAAAAAAATATTAAAAAAACATTGTCCAGCGGACAAAATTGTGAATCTAAACCATTCTCTGATCCCCTTGAACACACACAAAAAATTTCATCAAAATCGGTCCAGTCGTTTAAGAGAAGTTCAGTGACATACACACTCACAGAAGAATTATATATATAAAGATTATACCTATTGCTGCTTATTACAGCAATAATCACGAGGAGTTGAAGTTACGCAACTTTCACAGTGTTCGGTCATTGGACGTGTGACCAATAATCTTCTATCTCAAGTTCCTCCGTGCTTCAGTGGCATGTTAGTCTTTAGCACTCGCCCATCTGCACTGGGCCCGAGTGGAGGGTCATGTCCCAATCTCCCTATTTCATCCATAGGGAAGGCCTGTGTCCCAGCAGTGGGAACATTAATAGGCTGATGATCATGATGATGATGACACCAATAATGATTTTGGCCTATATCATTGACATCACTATGTTTGTCGCTCAGTCTATTAGTAAATGGTATAACACAAATATCTTGGGCTATTCCACTCACCCGCACTTACTTGCAATAACAACTCTATATAAAGAAAGAAAACAGTAGCTGGTGTGGCAGGTAGAACTGCTGTACCAGCTATTTCGCGTCTGGACTTCACCGTCACTTAACATCAAATAGATAGATAGATTAACACTTTATTATAACACCAAATACATAATTCCATAACATTAACAAACAACAAACTTAACAAAAGCATTATAATTGGCGGTCTTATCGCTAAGAGCGATTTCTTCCAGACAACCGTGAGTACAAAAAGTTATACAGAGACTGTAGGTTGGGGTGTTAAATGGCTTGGAGTAAATAGTCACAAGTGTACATACAACTAGGGTTGCAACGATATATCGGAATATCGATAATATCGAAACCAAAATATCGATATTTATATCGATATTTAAAATTCACTGATATCGATAATATCGATATCGGAAATTCCAAAATATCGATATTTCGTAGACTTAATTTGAAGACAATAATATCAATTAATTTACCTGCTATGACTATCTAAATTGAATAATATCGAAATAACTATTGCTTTGAAATTGCAAGAGCTTATAGATGTATTAAAAAAATCTTGAACCCCAAGAAATATACTAAACTGGTGTGGACTCTGGCATGTTTCTCTAAACCTAAAATTAAATTTGACAATCAAGCCATCGACACCAACGTATATAGGTATAATCATATACCTAATGGTAACTCATGCACTTAAATAAAATCCTTGCCTCTCTTTCTAGATAATTGTCAACTACTGATTAATTGAAATTTAATATCATTGTAATATAACACAAAATAAAATTAAGAATCTTATACAAATCGTAAATTTTTTAAGCTCGCCAAGTCAAGAAAGTAAGATAGGTATAGTAATTTTGGAAGCTTTGGGCTTACCCTATTCTGGAGCCTGATGTGTAGGTTTTACTAATTCATAACAATTGTTTTTCATATGATTATCTATTCTGATTTTGGCTGCGTGCAAATATTTTAAACAAAATAAATATCTTTGATTCGAAATTGCTTTTGATTTGATACTTCTTACAGCGCTATAAAAAATATAGAAAATATCGTGTTGGAAATGTTGGAATGGCTGACATATCTGATCGGATTTCGATATTTACCTGCCCACATTATAAATATCGATATTTCGGAAACCTTTGCTTCCTTAATTTTAGGTTTTTGCATTGCAAACTTAATACAAAGCAAAAAAAAAGAAAAAAATATCGATATATCGATAATATCGAGTTAAAATGGTCGATATATCGGATATCGATATTTGCCTGACTTCGATATAAATATCGATATTTCAAAAGACTTTGCATCCCTACATAGAACTAATTTTACATGAAACCTAAGTATTTTAATTTAAAAATACATTCAATAACATATATACATACACACACACACACACACACACACATACATACAAATACATAACATTTACACAGTAAAATCAGATTCACTGCGGAAGATAAAAGTGTTTGAGCTGGTCTTTGAATATATTTAAAGACTGAGCACGTCTGATATTAGTAGGCAACGAGTTCCAAAGCCGAACAGCTTGTATAGCAAAGGAATGGTCATAATAGCTAGTGCGGTGAATCAGGTGGGGTGGAGTCATCAGTCGCACCTGTCTATAAAAATAAAAAATAAAATGTGTTGTTTCCGTAGATCCGCACAGGCATGGTGCAGGTGTCGGACGGCAAGTCGCGGCCGCGGACGGCGCGCCTCGTGCTCACCATGGACGCCGTCACCGTGCAGCGCGAGGCGCCCGCCCCGCCGCCCTCCGCGCGGGACAAGAGCGTGCCCCACGCGAGGGTAATGTCATCCCACTGTCCCACTGGTGCTGTTGATGCTGATGTTCACACAGTGCTCGTTGCAAAAGTTGCATTGCTCTTTAATAGGGATAATGATTAATACTTTTTCCTTCGTTTATCAGGTAGATTATCAAAAAGTATTGGACACGTATTTTTTCTTTTTTCACATAATATAAACTTTGCAGAGATATATTGATTGGAAAAGTCGCATGACGTCATGTTTGAGTACACTTATTCACTCAAAAGTGACGTCACGAGTCACGAGCCCCTACTCCCAAACTTTGACGCGCTATAACTTTGTCATTTTTTGGTTGATTGCACAAAGAAAATATACGTGTCCATTATTTTTTGATCATCTAACTGACGGACTAAATAGAATTTCGTTTACTGTACCCCAGTCATTACCCCCCTATTATTTTAAATGTTTCATAAGTATTAGTCGCGTCACGAAACTCTAGCGTTGACCGTTATTGCGCAGAAGTAAAAATTAAGATGTGTTGATGCCCTCCACGTTTTGTTCAGCGCTAGAGTTGCCGCGACCTGTATCGTTGAGTTCATTTGAAAGTATACAATATGACAATGGAGTTGTCTGCAATTTGAAGAAATTACGTGATCGTCTAAAGCATAATACGGGGAAAAAGCAACACGCCTTCAAATCGTTTATTGCATAAGCTTTTATAACGAAAGGCACTCGTTCAAAATCTAGCCTGTAGTGAAATGAAATGAAATGAAAAGTCATTTATTCAGTCTAGGCTGTTACAAGCACTTGTGAAAGTCAAGAAGCTACGCCATCGGTTCGCAAAAGACCGAGTTCGAGCCGGTTCTTCTCAGTACAAGTTCGAGACCTTGTACTGAGAAGAACCGGCAAGAAACTCAGCAAGGGCTGCTTTTTTCTCCCTGTATTGATATATACAGAGTCGTCAAGTTGAAAAATGACTTCAGACATACTTCTGAAGTCACCTTCCATTACATTATTTAGGGTATAGATATATATAGTTACAACAAATTTTATATTTAGTATATATAGGAAGCGGCATTAGATAGGTACCATACTACTGTTACAAAACTGACTCATACCCATCAAATAAGAAATTACAAGAAACACTATGTCCATGCATTACGATCATTTAGATAATCATTAACTTTATAATAGCCCTTATTCATAAGAGTATTCTTAATCTGAGATTTAAATTTGGTTAGTGGAAGCTCAATCAGATCTTGGGGAACTTTGTTAAACAATGCAATACTACATCCCAGAAATGAACCTCTTGATTTTTGGAGTCTGAAACATGGAACGGCAAGCTTGTTCTTAAATCTCGTGTTAAAGTTATGGGTTTGACTTTTTTTTGCAAATGCGTCATAGTTTCTTCTTACATATATTATATTTTCATAGATGTATTGCGATGCCAGTGTTAAAATATTAATTTCTTTAAATTTTTCTCTAAGAGATTCTCTTGCCTTTAAATTATATATGGCGCGAACAGCTCTCTTTTGCAGTACGAAAATACTTTCTATATTAGCAGCTGAGCCCCACAACAAAAGGCCATATGACATAACGCTATGAAAGTAACCAAAGTAAACCATTCTTGCCGTTTCCACATCAGTTAGGAGTCTTATTTTTTTAACAGCGAAGGCCGCAGAGCTCAGTCTACTTGATAAGGCATCAATATGAGGATCCCATTGCAGAAGCGAGTCTAAAGTAATACCCAGAAACTTTGTAGAATGCACTAACTCTACAGGCTGGTCATTTATTTTTAAACTAGTATTAACCTGCCTCACATTAGGTAAAGTAAACTTAACACATTTTGTTTTGCTAGAGTTTAGTTTTAAATTATTTACCGTAAACCAGTGAAGGACTTCAGAGAGAGCACAATTTACTTCGTCATAACAATCATTTCCTCTCCTAGCTTTAAACAGAAGTAGGTCCAATAGAATTGTTTCTAGTAATATTTTCTGTAAGCATTTTTTTTTGTGGAGTTCGATGGCGCAAGTGGTTAGCGCGTTCGGCTGCGATCGTTGAACTTAAGCAACTTTCGCAGTGGTCGGTCATTGGATGGGTGACCAGAAATTACTATCTCGAGCTCCTCCGTGCTTCGGAAGGCACGTTAAGCCGTTGGTCCCGGCTGCATCTGTAGTCGTTAGCACCCACCAATCCGCACTGGGCCCGCGTGGTGGGTCATGGCCCAATCTCCCTATTCCATCCATAGGGAAGGCCTGTGCCCCAGCAGTGGGAACATTAATAGGCTGATGATGAAATTAATTTTATATTAAGCGCCTGGTGTACAAGCTGTGAAATTTATACTAGATTCATCATTATCTTTTAGGAACGCATGGTTCAAATCACGCGGCAGAAAGTGGGAGGGCTCGGACTTAGCATTAAGGGAGGAGCTGAGCACAAGCTGCCCATCCTCATATCCAAAATATACAAAGACCAAGCGGCTGACCAGACGGGGCAGCTGTTTGTTGGGGACGCTGTCATCAAAGGTATGTAGTCTTAGTCTTAGTCTTAGTAGTACGGCGGGCTGTTTCCGCAACTCGACACCTAGTGCCTATTTTGCGTGGGGGATTGGCATCAGTCCTGCCATCCCAGCTCCTCCAGAAAGCTCAGCAGTCCCCGAATGTTGCTGCAGGCCTCTACTATTGTCTTCGGGCTTCCCATTAGAGAAGTCCTTTGTCTTGCAACGCCCCTGCACTCCAGTAGGACATGGGCGCTCGTCTCATCCGCCTCCAGGCAGGCTCTGCACAGAGGGCTGTCAGAAATACCTATGTTACAAAGGTGTTTGTTAAAGTAGCCGTGACCCGTGAGTATACCCACGATTTGTTTCAGGGCTTGTCTAGGTAGTCTGATTAACTTACGTGTTAGTTGCAGGTTTACCTTAGGAACGGCTTCCCTGGCTTGCCTGCAGTCCGTGAGTTTTGAGTATGGTAAGGTATGTAATAAAACGTACATTGGGCCGCTACAATTTGCGGAATGGCTATTTTATAAATTTTGTTAGCTAAAGCCGCACACCGAATTGCTGCACCCGAGACACAAATCGCGTTAAAGATTCAGCATACTTTAAAAAACTGAAATTCAAAATGATACCTACTGTATTACTTCAGGGGGCCTAAGAGAAATGCTTTGGAAAACGCTAAAACTTTCGATTTTATTTTGTTATTTCTGACCGCCGAAGGTTTTCAAATACCTCACGCTATTTTTTTTTAATATTGTTATTACCAATGCAAAAGAAAAAAAAGAGCGCGAGGCATTTGAAAACCTCAGGCGGCTAGAAATAACAAAATGAAATCGTAAGCGTTAACTTTTTCCAAAGCATTTCCGTTAGGCGAATGGCCCCCAAGTTTTCCAACAGGCATTGATAAGCCGGCGTATTTGCTGGCTTTTTTGACAATCACAATTTATTTAATTCAGGTAACAAACAGTCTTATACAATCAATTTTACAATTTATGTTTACAAATAGACCTAAAGTACCATTAATTCATATAAAATTACTAGCTGACTCGGCGAACTTCGTACCGCCCAAAAGTAATAATTTGCAATAAATTAAAATTGCGACTATAATTTGAGATTTAAACTATCCTATCTCTAAAGTTGGATCGAACTGCACATGGTGTGCGAATTTTATTATAATCGGTTCAGTGGTTTAGGAGTCCATTGAGGACAAACATTGTGACACGAGATTTATATATATTAAGATTATATTCAAGCGGCATTAAAGTGACGGATATCTTTAAACAGATTATATACATCGCCGCCGCACATGTTATACTAGTTAAACAATAATTCGCTAACTTTCCTTTTGAAATTGTAAAGTGATTCACTGAAAATATCTGCTTCATTCAAGTACTTATTGTAAAAATTACATGTCCGTCTAAAAAAGGTTTCTCTAGCTTAGTTGGTATGGTAACTCGAAACATAAAAGGTATCCTTTGAACGTGAGGAGAAACGAGGAACTTTGAGCACTTGAGCACAATACTCTGCACAAGTTGAGCTGAGTCAATGGTGTCGATTCTAGCATAATTCTCTAATCCTAAACTTAAATTTGACAGCAGTATATCCTTGTCATTCTCTATACAGAATGAAAAGGAGAGACTGATGTTAAATTTAGTTTTAAGTTTAGAGAATCACGCCAGAATTGGCACCAATGTGATTGTTAATTATCTTGTACAGAAACATGGCATCCAAATACTGGCGTCTACAGACCAATGACTGCACTTCATGTCTTTTTGCACTCTCTTCATAATCATTATGATAAAATCCGACACGATAATCTAATGATTTTATGAATTTGCGTTGTACACGTTCTATTCTATCCTTGTGAACGGCATACTGAGGACTCCAGACCATGCTACCAAACTCCTATATACTCCGAACGTAGCCGTTATAAAGTATCTTAAGAGTACTGCCCCTAGCGAAAGGCTTTCCTTTGACGACCTCCGTGGCCGAGTGGTTTGTACGCCGGGTTTCATGGTGTCGCCGACTCGAGAGGTCCCGGGTTCGAATCCCGGTGGGGGCAGATGTTTCTGTGATGAACATGAGCATTTGTACTCCAGTCATGGATGTTTAATATAAATTTCTATATAAATATACTTATATATGTACTGTATATGTATTCTATCCGTTACCCTAGTATCCCATAACACAAGCCTTACAGTGCTTACTTTGGGACTAGGCTAATTGGTGTGTGTTGGAGATATTTATTTCCTAGTCGTAGGATTAGCCCCAACTGCTTAAACGCCTAAACAATGTGTAACTAAAGAGAAAATTTCATATGCTTTTCAGAACAAGTATCTTAGTGGCGTTATAATAAAGCTGTAGTGGACCACTAAATATCTCGGTGATTATCACTTCCATCTGTCAAAAGCAGTTAGCGAATAGGCCTACTGGTCTGGCTTCCATCCAGGTCAATGAAGCGAATGGTTAGGAATGCACCATGTCAACCACTCGATCGCGCAAACTGATTACGCGGCGTAATAAGATTTAACCGCTTAGTTAGGGCGATGTGTAAGCTCTCGTGTCAATGAATTAAAGCATACAACATTGTTTAGGGCCTTCATCGAATAATTATCACGTTCATCAAGTTTTTACATTTTTATTTGTTGACTAATGGCCCGCCCTCGCTTCGCTTCGGGGTAGAATTGATCAAAATCCTTTCCGCACAGAATTTGTATTAAAATTGCCACTATGTTATAGTGGCAAATAACAAAAATTATTTGTTTCTTACATACTTACAACTCTGCGGAGATTTGCGTTTTCCCGAAACTTCTATAATAGGCTAGTAGTAGTTTTGGAAAAAGGTTTGAAATGGTTAATAAATGTTATATTAGACCGAAAAAAAATGTATGTATTTTTTAAGACCTAGAAAGCTACAAATCTTCAATTTTAAAATAGACTTTTCGTGGACATACAAAAACGCTGTCGGCCATTTTAGCCTATAGATTGTCTATGCTATGACGTCAACTGTAGTAAACAAAAACTCGTAAGCACGTAGAAAATAACTTATCTGAGTTTATAATAAAAAAAAAACATGATTTCTACTAAATACCACGAAAAATAAAGTAATTATCATTATTGTATTGTACGAGAATATAAAAACACATCCTTGAAGACTCCAGGAAAGTTGTGGATTAAAGTGCCGAAAGAAATTACCTACGTAACTTTATTACACTTATTCATATGTTGTATCAGTTTTATGTTTATTACTACATTGTAATACTAATGCACTGTACTTACATAGATGTCTTGTCATTTCTCTGCTCCGCAGACCAGAAATCGGGGTTTAGTGCAAAAAATTCACCAACCATCAATGCGTCAATTCTTGGCAGATTTGTGCTTTCTGCTTTCACAAAGCCGGCATCTATAATTAGTTTTGTTAAAAAAAACAGTAAACGGAAACTTTTCGAAAGTGAAAAGTATTTTAAGATAAATTTACTCAGACGGAAGAATCCACCCACAGTAACACACGAATGACATTTAGTTGTTTACTACAAAAGACGTCACAATCATGGCGGATGTGGCGAACAGCGTTTTTAGTGTTTAAAAAATATAGACTAAAAATATTTTTTAAAATTAAATTTCTACAGCAATCTTCTGCTTTTATGAAGTGAAATCGATATATTTAGTTTCCTTCGACCAAATATTTTAAGAAATAAACATTTATTTAATACAATTCCACATGAGTTAACTAGCCTATTGCAAAGTTATAGAACTCTTAAGATGTTATAGAGGTATGGATCGTACGATGACACTTGGCCGATTTATTCAAGTACTAGAATATTTTAAGTAGCAACGAAACAATAAAGCTTATTACGAAGTGTCTGATTATATTATAGACAAAAATGCTTTGGTTTGAACTGTTCCAATCAATCCAACAGGTTTTCTATATGAAATAAATCATGATTGTATTGACGTTGTAACAGCATAATGATTGGTTAATGTTGTTACATTAAACTTTTAATGTTGTGGAGTTTTTTTTGTCTCCTGTTTCTCAGCAGCTAAAAAATGGGTCCAATAACGAGTGGTAGGGAAAAAAATTTTTTGGACGATTCAAAAGAGTTGTAATATACATCCAATTTGTATAAAGATATTGTTACGTGTCGTGATGGGGTTTGAAATTATATGCCAGTTCACGCTTGACAGTTCTTTATTCACCACACAGTTCACACAATTAACACACAATGTTAATTACAAAACACTCACTAAACACTGTATTTCACTATACAAGTCACTAAACTATCGCACTGGAATAATTTTGTTGCACTTTGATCGCATTTGGATTCGCTCCGAAATCGCTGTTGAAACTCAACTGTCTCTGCGCGGCGCCAATCGCACTTATATACGCCGATCGACGCATTCTAGAAAGTACCTGTTAAATTGAGAATTACCTAGCACCCGCGAGTACGAAGTACCTACTTATACCTACGCAGGTAACACGCATAACTTGTAAACAAGTGCAGATGTCGTTGCACTTTCTCCCTTACGTCACACTGCATAAGGCTCATTTTAGAATGAGCCGCATTACTCGACCTCTATCGCGACCCGCGGTGCTCTGGCAAATTCGATCTCTAGCACATTCGCGGTTCCGTTTCGAGAGCGTTTGTGACACTATATTGATTAAATCTAAAGAAAAGTTTAATAGAAAAAAAATCTACGGGGACCAGGCAGCGGACGGGACTCGAACCCGCATCCTTCGCTATCCGGGCGAATGCACTGACCATTATGCTACCACGGCCCTATAAGCCGCGTCGAAATTTTCCTAGCCTTAAGCTGCAAGGCAGTGCCATCTCTTCGCATTGTAGGTAACCCACAATGTCAAATGAATACTTTTTCAAGTATTAAACATTTCAAAGAAGAAATAGCAATTATAGTTATGATTTTATTTATTTTTTAAGCATTTAACTGCTAGATGTTTAAATCTAAAGAAAAGTTTACTAGAAAAAAATGTGCTGCCTTGCATCATCTAGCAGTTAAATGCTTAATAAAATAAATAAAATCATAACTATAATTGCTATTTCTTCTTTCAAATGTTTAATACTTGAAAAAGTATTCATTTGACATTGTGGGTTACCTACAATGCGAAGAGATGGCGCTGCCTTGCAGCTTAAGGCTAGGAAAATTTCGACGCGGCTAATAGGGCCGTGGTAGCATAATGGTCATTGCATTCGCCCGGATAGCGAAGGATGCGGGGTCGAGTCCCGTCCGCTGCCTGGTCCGAATGGATTTTTTTCTAGTAAACTTTTCTTTAGATTTAAACATCTAGCAGTTAAATGCTTAAAAAATAAATAAAATCATAACTATATTGATTTCTGAATAATTGGTTGCAGTCAACGGGGAATACATAACGGCGTGCAAGCACGACGACGCCGTCAACATCCTCCGCAATGCCGGCGATATAGTCGTGCTTACTGTCAAACATTACAGGGCAGCCACGCCCTTCCTGCAGAAACAAGGTAATATTACGAATAGAGTCCGACCGAAACTGGTTTTCCGGCCGAAATCGAAACCGAATATTCGGCCGTGGCTTCCATTTCGGCCGAAACCGAAACTCACGTGGTCACGATTAAAATTCCTTAAAATACTGAAGTTTGGTGCATTTTACCCATTATTCAGCATTAATTAGGACATGAAATTGAAACACAGTATATTAATTTTGTTGTAGGTAATCATTTATTAAATATAATATAAAAAAAAATATTAATAATATTTTTATTATTTTTTCAAAGTAAGTTCTCATAGCACAATTTGTATCAGTTATCAATTCACAAATTGTTACTGTTTCATTAAATGCCAATTGGTATTTTGAAATCTTATTAATAATTACTTTGGTTTGTATTTGTACTTAGAAGAATCATCAATCTCTTTTATCTCTCAATATAAGATATTGACTGCTGTGCGAGGAACAACTTCCAAAACCAGTTTCGGTTTCGGCAAAAGTTTCGGCCATTTTTGTCCGAAACCGAAACTGCCGCCGAAACTTAATTTTTGGCCGAAACTCGGCCGAAACCGAAACCGAACTTTCGGTCGGACACTAATTACGAACACCATTCAACTATGTTAAATACCCTAGACACACCACGAGTGTTCAAAATGTTTCCCAATCAAGAAGTGCTGGAACACAACTGAAGCACTTCTTGGTTCACAGTCACGCGCGGACCGTTGAAAAGTCAAGATGCCGTAAAGCTCGAAATTCGAGCTCGTAAAATTCGAAATGCAAGCTCGTAAAATTTTAAGATTCATTGCTATACGCGGAAGAATATAGATAGACTTTATTTCTTTGCCTCTACGCGCCATTCTGAATGCGCTGTTAGCAATACAGTAGGGACGGACCGCGAGGAAAAGAGACGGCTATATTACCGACCATGCATTTGAATATCACAAATATTTTCTATAATTAATAGCGTTAAATTAATAAACATTGATTAGTACCTATCCAAAAAAAAATGGGTGCGTGTACAATAATTGGTTTGGCATCGTTAATAATTAGTTTTTAATTGCATGCAAATAATTAATTACATTAGAATAATAAATGGATTGGAAAATGATAGTCAATACAGTCAATAAAGTTCAGTTGTAATTTGAAAAATTAAATAAATAATCAAAGTATTCAATTTAAGTCACTACTGAATACAATTCGCACATGTATGAAACTAAAAGATGTATTGTGAATATAGAAACATGTGGATGAATATTATAAAAATGAAAACAGTGATCAGAGGCGACGAGCGTGCCAACATGCGCGACTAATAGAGATTCTATTTCTATTTTGTTGGTAGCTTTTTTTCGAGACTTATAATGCGATTCAACTAAGAATAGGACCGACTGGGCGCCATATTTTGACGTCATATTTGTCAATTCAAACCAAATAGGTAGAGTGAGCAAAAATCAGATTTTATTTAATAAAACTTCTAACTAAGATTAAGTGATAAAAAACATCAGATGTTTTTATTAAAATATTTACTAAGATTGAGAAAAAAAACAACAAATTTTTAATAACATTTATTTATTAAGACTGTGTGAGAAAAAACATAAATCAGAATCTAGCTCTTCAATTCCGCTCATCTCTGCATTACCGCCGGAGTAGTTATGAATAATCATGCACTATTACTAGGTCACATACGAACATGCATCCTTTATGTAAACGAAAATTTTAAATTGAGTTTCTGAACGCAACTTAAAGTGACATTTGGTTGACGGTTTAGGTTATCAACAATTCATAGTCAAAGCTCAATAAATGAAAAAAAATATCAACCAATATTTGTTATTATTTGTTTACAAATATGGGGTTTTTATTCTAGAATTAGCGGAGTGCTAAAAAAGGGTTCTAAGATTTTTTTTGCTAACGGTACTTTTCAAGCGACATTTGACAGATGCAGGTCATTGACGTCCTATTCTTATTTGAATCGCATTATACTGTGCGGTTTAGCGGCCAACTTCATGGTGTTACTTTTGTGTTACAGTGATGCGTGCGCATCTTAAAATTTAACTCATCACCTTTTCATAACGCTCCTAAAGCAATTTAACTTCAATAACGACAGTTTACGTACTATAAGTATTTTTTTACGCATTTTTTCACGGAGCTCTGCGGCATGTTGACTTTTCAACGGTCCGCGGGTGATTGTGAACCAAAAAGTGCTAGTGATTGTGAACCAGAATGTTCAAGCACTTCATGATTGTGGCACACTTTGAGCACACGTGGTGTATCCATTTAATAGCTGACTAGCAAACCAGTGAACCAAATGTTAACCAAAACCTGATTTAAAAAAAAAATGTATTTAATTAATTGAGAACTTCGGAGATTTTGTGTGGTTTCGTTTGAAATTCGTGATTTCTCGAAAACCGGAAGTGCTACGTTACTCAAATCCGGTTTGTAGTCTTATCAGACTATTCTTAACTTATAACTTAAATATTCTCTTTATCTATCTCTTACGGTTTGGTCGCTGAAACAGCACCACAGACGGACGGACTTGTCTAATAGATTAGCTGATAATAGAATGAAACATATTTTATCATGACTTTAGTATTTTAGAAAATATATTAAAAATGGGTTGCCCAAATAATCCTGGACAGGCTATTTTTAATTATTTTTTAAAATATTATTTAAGAAAAAAATATGTTGCTACACCAAGATAATAAGAAAATGTTGTCCTGACTTAAAGTATAAAACGTACCTATAGAATGTGCAGCCGTTGGTAACGTAACTGGCATCGACATACTTGTTTATACCTGGCAACCCAGTAGTTCACCCAGGTAAAAAACCCAGACAACCCAAGGATTGCACATTTTATACTGTTTTTAAGACAATATTTTCATATTATCTTGATGCTTCAACAAATTAAAAATAGTCTGTCCAGGATTTTTTTAGGCAACCCATTTTTAGGGATGCAAACGATACATCGATGTCTGTAAAACATCGGGGTATCGGTCATAAACATCGATGTTAACATCGTCGATACATCGTTCACTACATTTGCAAACATCGACATCGTTCTTGTCTGTTCGGATTATCGGAATCACTGTGACGTTCGCTCGCATTGCATTGTTGTGCTGACACGTAAAGCGTAGATGAATTTGATTAAATATAATTTGATTCTTAGATTACATACCTATACACATTTTAGATTTCTTGATTGGTTGAGTAATTTACTTGTTTAATTAATTTATAAATTAGTTGGATTTTGATAGTTTTTTTTTTTAGGTTTTAGTTGGCGGGTACGTGAAAACTGAGTCTATAATTTTGAGGTGTAAAAAATGACAAAACGAATAGCTTGTTGATTAAAGCAGCTTGTGAACTGACAGTTCATTTTAATTTGTTTATTTGCCTAATTGAATGATGAGAATCATTTTCTTATAATTTAATTTACCATCATGTAATTCTTATTTTTATTAACCTTTAAGCATCGAGCATACTTATACCAAATAGAGCGGTATTGTCAAATGTTTCAATGAAGCATCCTATTAAAAATTAAAAAAAAAACAGCGGCAAAATCATTGATATATCGCTCTTATCAACGATATTTTTAAACATCGATGTTTGCACGAAAAACATCGATGTTCAAAAATATCGATGTTTCTCAGCACAATGTTGCATCCCTACCCATTTTTCATATATTTTCTAATATACTAAATTCATGATAAAATATGTTTCTATTATCTGCACGGTTAAGGTCGATGTAGGTTCGGATCTTAGACCGTTAAGTTTTTATCAAAACTGTGTCGCCTTGTTCAAACATTGTCAAAACTGTTCACAGAGACAAAAAAGTCTTCACTTTTGTCTTCGTATTTGTTTTGGTGCCCTCACTTCCGTGTTCCCTGAGTTCCATCTGCATTTTGTTCAGTAATCGGAGCTATTAATTATGATAATTATTAATTTATTTATTGTTAATTAATCTAACAGCGGACGGGGCATCCGATACGGACAGCAGTACGGGCGATGACCACCCCTCCCTTCACAACAAGCCGGTCGATGCTAATTGTAACTCGGAGAAAAGCGTCGAGCATACCAACGGTGGTTGGCAGGTAATTTACAGTATGATACAACTTATACGTGGTTAAAAATTCAATAAAAGAAAATGGGTGCGTGTACTTATGTAGGCGCGTGAGAAGTTATCCTTCTTTGGCATCGTTTAAAATTAGTTTTTAATTGCATGCAAATAAATAATAATTACAATAAAATAATAAAAGGACTGGCAAAAGGATAGTTAACACAGTCAATTAAGTTCAGTTTTAATTTGAAAAATTAAATAAATATTCAAAATATTCAATTAAAATCACTACTGAATTTAAGTTATTAGTCCAAATCATGATTCTAACGACGCAGGCTGAAAATGAAGTAATTTAACACATGATTTTAAGTTATAATTTTTATTTTTTAACCATGATGTTTAAATGTAAAGAAAATATAACTAGAAAAAATTCCACGCGGACCAGGCGGTAGACGGGACTCGAACCCATTATATTCGTATTGTACGCAACCCGAAGGCATTGTGGGTTGCCTACAATGCGAAGGAATGGCGCTGCCTTGCAGCTTAAGAATGCCCAGAAAAATTTCGGCGCGGCCGTCAGGGCCGCGGTAGCATAATTGGTCAGTGCATTCGTCCGGATAGCGAAGGGTGCGGGTTCGAGTCCCGTCTGCTGCCTGCCTGCTCTTTAGATTATAACATGATTTTTGGTTAATGATGAGGTAAAATAACAATACTGTGTCACCTTAGGACTTATTATAAAAGGATTAATATTGCAAGTCAGCATCACAAACATTGACTAACCTAACTAGTTATAATATTGGTCAATCTGTGGTCAATCAGGACCCTGTCTCAGCATAATGCTGCCGTGACATGTAACTTATCTTCCCTCCCTCTTACAACCTGGGATCCTTAAAGAGGCATAAAGAAGCAACATGCAGGCCGGCAGGGTGAGGATGGCTGGTGTGGCAGGTAGAACTGCTGTATCAGCTATCTTCACTCTGGACTTCACCTTCACTTAACATCAGATGGGGTGAAGTCATTTATCAAACCTTTCTATAAAAAAAAATGGGTGCGTGTACTTATGTAGGCGCGTGAGAAGTTATCCTTCTTTGGCATCGTTTAAAATTAGTTTTTAATTGCATGCAAATAATTAATAACAATAAATTAATAAAAAGTCTGGAAAAGGACACAGTCAATAAAGTTCAGTTTTAATTTGAAAAAATAAATAAATAATCAAAATATTCAATTAAAATCGCTACTGAATATAATTTATTAGAACATATGTGATTTGCACTTGTATGAAACTCAAACACGTATTCCGAATATACAAACTAGAAACATGTGGATAAATATTATAAATATGAATACCTATAACTGTTACTTTATTACAAAAAATAAAGATGTGGTTTTTGGTTCTACTACACCAATGGTCAAGAGATGGCGCTGTAGTCTCCTGAATCGCGCTTTGGTTCCGTTGTTCCAGATTAATAAATACTTTTGGTAGGCCTTCACAATGCAGTCGTTAGCACCCACTAAATAGAGATTCTATTTCTATTTTGTTGGTAGATTTTCTTAATGTGCGGTAAACACAAAAGTAACGCATGAAGTTGGTCGCTAAAGCAACCAACTTCATGCTGTTAAAATTTTGTGTTACAGTGATGCGCGCGCATCTTAAAATTTCACTCTCATCATTTTTTCATAACGTGCCTAAAGAAGTATAACTTCAAAAACAGCTAAACGTGTCACGACAACGCTGGTATTCCGACAGGGCCTGTATGGTGCACGGTGTTTCGGTATACTAATTTAATGAAGAAAACGAATAGATTTATAATTGGATAAATACATACATATTGCTCAAGTGTAAAAATTAACAGGAAACTAAAAGTAAATATAAATATGTGACCCAGTATCATTTGCTGTGTTATGTTATTCCGTGGTTAATCTGTGACTTGGCTTGTCTGTCACTTTTTACTATTTAAATAATTTGGTAGGTATGTACTCGAAATGAGGTTTTTTGAAAAATATGCATGGAGTGAGATTTTTCGCTCATGGTTGCGAGCTTTAGATTAAAACAAAATGAGAAGATACGGCACTCGCGGCTCAAAAGTGATCCGCTTAAATTGTGGTGCATGACCACAATTCGCTTTAGTGACTATTGGACATCCAAAGACGATGCATGTGCCCGCAATAAAACAATATTGCGTATATTCTGTGTAATAAACACAAAGAGTTCAAGATAAATGCCATGGCAACACTTTTCATTCGTAATTATATAAAAACATTTTTTTTGTCAAAAATCACGGTTTGTCATGAATGTTATTTACCTACTAGCAATTTTTATATCAAGAAAAAGACAATTCAATTCAACCGTTTGTAGGGAGAGAAATAAAACGCAGTCGGCTGCAAAAAGACGCGGACTCGCGCTGCGTTGAAGCGTATAGTTCTGTCTCGCTCGCTCGATTGATGTTTATATACAGACGTGTGCGTGGCGAGAGTTGCCTATGTAGTTGGGTCGGATCATATTTTATTTGATGCTAGTAAGAGCGTATCGTATCTACCCTTTTCGTTTTAATCTAAGGCTTTAGGGAGTTTGTCGTTAAATCGAGTGAGGGGCCGTTCAAGTATTACGTAAGCAGATTTCGTACAATTATTTACCCCCTCCTCCCCCTCGTCAGCAAAAGTAAGCAAAGCTCTTACCCCTTCCCCCATCCTTACGTAAACATCGGTACCTATATGCATTTTTCCTTTAATGTATTCTGTCTTTTTATTGATTCATGAGCTTTCATGAGCTTCATGAGCAGCAGTACTTAAAAGGGCTTAATCGATGATGCTGACGTTATCACCATCTCGACCCCCCACCCCCCATGTCATCAAAAATAAGCACAGCAAAGACCCCCCTGCCCCGCTCTAGTGCTTACGTAATACTTGAACAGCCCCTGACGTTAGATGAAATGAAATGAAATGAAATGAAATGAAATGAAAAGTCATTTATTCAGTCTAGGCTGTTACAAGCACTTGTGAAAGTCAAGAAGCTACGCCATCGGTTCGCAAAACTACGGCGGGAGACCTTGTACTGAGAAGAACCGGCAAGAAACTCAGCAAGGGCTGCTTTTTTCTCCCTGTATTGATATATACAGAGTCGTCAAGTTGAAAAATGACTTCAGACATACTTCTGAAGTCACCTTCCATTACATTATTTAGGGTATAGATATATAGTTACAACAAATTTTATATTTAGTATATATAGGAAGCGGCATTAGATAGGTACCATACTACTGTTACAAAACTGACTCATACCCATCAAATAAGAAATTACAAGAAACACTATGTCCATGCATTACGATCATTTAGATGGAGTTTACACTGTATTTCCATTTGATTTCAGACGTCGTGGGATGAAGATAGCAGCAGGCCGGGCAGCGCTATGGGCTCCATACGCGGCTCGAGACCTCCCTCTGTCGCCTCAGATCGACCTCCTGCGCAACCCACGTGGCAAGACGTAGTCTCAGGTGAGTAGCGATGCGCGACTTCGAATAGTACTAACTAGCAAACCAGTGAGCCAAATGTACACCAATTACAAAAAAAAAAAATGTAGTTATAATTTTTATTATTTTTAAAGCATGTAACTGCTTGATGTTTAAATCTAAAGAAAATATAACTAGAAAAAATTCGGATTGCGAAGGGTGCGGGTTCGAGTCCCGTCTGCTGCCTGGTCCGCGTGGAATTTTTTCTAGTTATATTTTCTTTAGATTTAAACATCAAGCAGTTACATGCTTTAAAAATAATAAAAATTATAACTATAATTGCTATTTCTTCTTTCAAATGTTTAATACTTGTAAAAGTATTCATTTGACATTGTGGGTTTACCTATAATGCGAAGAGATGGCGCTGCCTTGCAGCTTAAGAATAGCTAGACAGAATTTCGACGCGGTCCGTGAGGGCCGCGGTAGCATAATTGGTCAGTGCATTCGCCCGGATTGCGAAGGGTGCGGGTTCGAGTCCCGTTTGCTGCCTGGTCCGCGTGGAATTTTTTCTAGTTATATTTTCTTTAAAAAAAATGTATTTTATTAATTGAGAACTTCGGAGATTTCGTGTGGTTTCGTTTGAAATAGAAATCACGTGATTTCTCGAAAACCGGAAGTGCTACGTTACTCAAATCCGGTTTGTAGTCTTATCAGACTATTCTTAACTTATAACTTAAATATTCTCTTTATCTATCTCTTACGGTTTGGCCGCTGAAACAGCACTACAGACAGACGGACGGACGGACGGACTTGTCTAATAGATAAGAGATACTAATCATTCGACCGAGTCGACTGCGATTTATATCATTCGACTGGAGTCGAAGGTATCGAGCGGTGACTAACCGGCTCTCGATTGACGTATGTGATGATGACGAATAAACCGGCTCGACTCGGGCTTGGTCGGGCGAACTCGTCGAGTGAAAGAAATAAGCACAGTTAATAGGGTACTACTCTCAATAGGGGTGATGACGGGGTACAAGTAAACGAAATTCTATTTAGTCCGTCAATTAGATGATTGAAAAATAATGGACACGTATTTTTTTTTTGGGCAATCAACCAAAAAATGACAAAGTTATAGCGCGTCAAAGTTTGGGAGTAGGGGCTCGTGACGTCACTTTTGAGTGAATTTTCACTTCTAAGTGTACTCAAAGGTGACGTCACGAGCCCCTACTCCCAAACTTTGAAGCGCTATCTATAACTTTGTCATTTTTTGGTTGATTGCCCAAAGAATAAATACGTGTCCATTATTTTTTGATAATCTACCTGATAAACGAAGAAAAAAAAATAGTCATCATCCCTATTGTTTTTTAATGATTAGATTGTTATATGAACTCTTTATATTAAAAATAAATATAAATCAAGTAACAATAAACAGATTCACTGGTAAATATAATTTTCACTGAAAAAAATTAATAACATATACAAGACTATCGTAGCAGGTGCCAAGTGCGAACATACGGAAACTAACTGAGCTAAGGCAAATGATGAACGAACTATGGATAACCTAACCTTATTCGTTGCGCTCTTGTAAATTTGACATTAGTATTATAAATTAGTAGTCGTTATTGGAATAATGAGGGGCTCGATGGCGCAACTGGTTAGCGCGTCCAGCTGCAATCGTTGAAGTTAAGCAACTTTCGTAGTGGTCGGTCATTGTATGGGTGACCAAAAATTTATTATCTCGAGCTCCTCCGTGCTTCGGAAGGCACGTTAAGACGTCGGTCCCGGTTGCATCTGCAGTCGTTAGCACCCCCACCAATCCGGACTGGGCCTGCGTGGTGGGTCATGGCCCAATCTCCCTATTCCATACATAGGGAAGGCCTGTGCCCCAGCAGTGGGGACATTAATAGGCTGATGATGATAATGATTTGAATAATGACATTAGTTGTCATTGAATGTGACTGATTTGCCTTTCGAATAGCCAAATTAGTAGTTGCGAATTAGTCGAAAGGTTAAATCATTCGGAGTCGTGCATCGCTACAGGTGAGTTAGGCAACTGTCTGCCTATCATCATCTTCATCAGTCTGTAGGAAGGCCAAAGGGGAAGATCTTCCTCCGAGCTGGGTGATGGTAGCTCGGGGGCCGCGGCCCGACTGATGTTGGTCGGGCATCGTATATATGAACTGTTGGCTGCCTAATTTCACTTGCGCGATGCAGGCTTCCTCACGTTGTGAACGCAGCGCCGGTAACGCCATCTCTGGAGGAGGCGAGTGTTTATTTCCTCCGTGTTAGTTATATGTGGGGTATATAGATGTCGCCGCCACAAGTCTATTAATGTCCCCACTGCTGGGGCACAGGCCTTCCCTATGGATCGAATAGGGAGATTGGGCCGTGACGAACCACATGTGATGAACCACAAGAGGAGAAAAGAAACAATGCAAAGAATAAGGGCATGGTTAAACGCAACAAGATAGATAATGTTCCTTTAGGCTTTTTTTAACACCGAGACAGAACTAGAATTTCTAAGACCTGTTGACAGCGAATAGGGTAATTGACAGAATAAAAAATTAAGTGTCAAATGATAGCATCTGTGTTTAGAATGTATATTGGCAGGGGTTTTTACTATTTTTACAAAGAAAATATTCACAATTTTACTAAAAACCCACGAAAAAGATAATAGTTTTCTTATCTACACTACACGCAAGTAAACTTCCGGTTGAAGTGACATTATATTGTATTGTTTGACGTTTTAATAGTAGTCGTGTGACGTTACACACTAGTAAGACGCCATATTGTCTAGAGAAACGTTTTCGCGGCAATTTGAAAATGGTGTTTTTGATCTGGTTATTTTTACTGAAATACACAACAGAATGATGACCACTTTTTACGGACTCCATTAACATTCGTCAATAACGTGAGATCGTTTTCTAAAACTTGTCAAATACCCTATTCCACAGACGGACGGATCCGTTTATAGTTTCATGCTTAACGTCCCGTCTGCTACCTGATCCGCGTGGAATTCAATTTAAATATCTAGCAGTTGAATAATTAATAAAAATAACGGTAAAAAAAATAATTGTTCATGTTATTTAATAATTTTTGTTTTAATAATATTTCAGTTCCACTAATGATGGGTTACGTGACGCGATACGTTTTTGGCACCGACAAATTAAGACCTGGCGCTTTTGAGGTAAGTTAAAAATTATATATTAACACTATATCAAAGAATGTAATAAAAAAAATTGTGTGTGTCAGCTCCGACGCACGACTGGAGTTTACTCTTTAAGTTCGATCTCAGAATACAGAACAAACCAGAAGGAGCATTTAGTCTTATTTGTACGGAGCGCATTGTGTCCAAAACAACTCCCCACCCACGTAGTGTTACCAGCGCAACATAACATTACCGCTTTTGGGGTAAAATTTATGTATAATATGACAGTAATGTCAAATGGTAATTTTCAAACGTTCAATAGGTAAAATATATTCATTCCTTTTGACTTAATTTAATAGGAACAAAATTTGACAACTGGATGTGAGTATCATAACTAAAATTAAAGATAACTTTTATAATACCCCTTTCTTGTTATATTCATTGAAGTAGAAAAAAAAATTAAAGTGCCCGTTTTTTCTGAAAACCAGTTTATTTATCTACATAGTCTGGTCTTTTACTCCTCTTTCGGTCTTGGCATATTATGTATGTATTTACAAAAAATATATATGTATGTATAAGTATGTTCATCTAGAGTTCTTTACACAAGTTGTTACTGAAACTTATCTTGGACTCAGCTCAATAATTGGTATGATGATAGGGCTATACCATGGATAATACGGTGGGGTAGAATGAAATAATACATTTTGTAGTTTGCACATACATAATTTATTAAGTAAACTAATACAAGTGAAAATATTTCTAGTAAACGTAATGTGACGAACATATTTGACTACATTCATGTTTTAATATTAAAGTTATAATCTCAACATACCTTTTTGGCATATCTTTTTGAAACTGAGTAATTAATGGCTATATTAGTTTTATCTGAATGAATTATCCGCACATAAATGGTATTAAAACACTCGCGCAGTTTATACTATTTAGCAAAAGGCTCCCTGAATAAAAAAAACACATAATAATTGTAATTAAATCAATAAAATTAAAAGTTATAAAAAAGTTGGGTAAAATGTTCGATTATTCTGTGGCAATACTAACAAAATGGACGCGTGATTTTCTTTGACAATTATATTACGTAAATTAAATTTAATATTTTAATAAAATGGATTGGAAATGTACAACTTACAGATGAAAGGTGATCCCATCTGATTTCTTCGTAGCATTTCGATTGCATTTTTGCAAGTGGGAACGACACACGACGGCATAATTATTTTAAAACTGACAGCTGGAATTACTAGTAAACAGTACGAGCGTCGGCCATTGACTAAATGACAATTTGACGAACCACACCGTTCCCGCGTGGTTTGTATGGTTTCACTTTTGAGCGCATTGACGGTTTCTGGTTTGTTCTGTATTCTGAGAGTTCGATAGTCTAACCAGACGCAAAAAGAGTTTATTTAACTTAAAAAAGATTGATACTGTATGAAAGGGTAAATTAACAAATTAATGAAAATAATATACATATATAAATATATATTTATTCATTTCATATACATTTATTATAACTAATCGACGAAATATTTTACATTAAACTTTTTACAATAGTCAATTTCTGATGTGCATAAATATATCATTAGGAATGTTGATAAATTATGTAATTATTATTATCAGACTATTATCATTTTTTTAAATATTAATTAAATCAATATTGTCTGCATTATTAATAACAGTGACAAGTGGTTTATGGAAACTAAAATAAGACACATGGACGTTCGTAGATACGTGATTCACGAATCTTGAAAATACCGCATCAATGGTTGTACCATACCTCGTTGTCCCCATTGCTCTATCAGAAACAATATCTAAATTCAGTTCAGATTTTAAAATTTTTATTAATGTCAATCCGTCATCTTTGTTTGTCAAAGTTGCGCGACATAGGATGCGCACCAAAAACGTAACGAGGTCATTCATCGATAGATTTTACTCCTCACATTTTTCTCATACCGGGCCCCTTATATGTGCAAATCGATTCTTAAGGAGTAAACTCCAAAAAACTGGTAATTTTATATTTCTGTATAGTTCCTATAGAAATGTTTTGATTTTTCCTAAGTGTTTCAATGGTTGACACGTATTTTTTCTTTATTTACATAATCAGAACATTATCATCATCATCATCATCATCATCAGCCTATTAATGTCCCCACTGCTGGGGCACAGGCCTTCCCTATGGATGGAATAGGGAGATTGGGCCATGACCCACCACGCGGGCCCAGTGCGGATTGGTGGGTGCTAACGACTGCAAATGCAGCCGGGACCAACGGCTTAACGTGTCTTCCGAAGCACGGAGGAGCTCGAGATAGTAAATTTTTGGTCACCCATCCAATGACCGACCACTGCGAAAGTTGCTTAACTTTAACGATCGCAGCCGAACGCGCTAGCCACCTGCGCCATCGAGCTCCTCAGAGTCAGAATCAGAACATTACAGAGATATATTGATTTAAAATGTCCCGTGAGGTCGCGTCTTGGTACAATTTTCACTTAGAAGTGACGTCTCGAGCCGCCACTCCCGAGCTTGGACGCGCTTTATTTATTTATTTACTTGAAATCTTGTTTGTAATGCTTTGGTATAAATAAAATAAAAAAATGTATCTATTATTTTTTGATACTCTCACTGATAGATTCCGGTATTGGCTGATACCGGAATCCTGGTATGGGTAGTCCTATCATACCGTTTAGAATCGCTTAACATTTCATATAACTACTAGTGGCCCACCCTCGCTTTGCTTCGGTGTAGAGCTGTAGTGTAGACTATAGTTTTTGTTCAAAGGCATGTATTATACACAATGACTTTTTTCATAATAATTATAAACCTTCCATTCCAAGTAAAAAAGTCGTTGCGTAGTTTAGGACCCGTTGTACCGAAAGCAACATTGCTCTGCTGTTCCAATTTGAACCCTAACTTTTTTGAAAATACACTATAGCCTATATTTATCAGTTATAATGTAGCATTCGAATGGTGAAAGAATTTTTAAAATCGGTCCAGTACTTTTTGAGCCAATTCGTTATAAACATACTTACGTACAAACCTTTCCTCTTTATAATATTAGTATAGATTTGCTAGATGATCTAGCTAGGTTTATAAAATGTTTAGTGATTCTAAACGCTATGATCATTGTTGGTTATTGATTATATTTTTTATTGGCTAGGTCCGCGGTGCTCGACAGCAAAGCACGGGCGTGATCCACCTGGAGGAGCCGGCCGCGCTTTCTTTATGGCTGAAAAGCATTTCCGACAACATTCTGGGCCTCACCAACCTGCAGGTATAGCGTTTGTGACAACATTCTCTGGGCCCTTACTGCTATAATCTGCTCCACTCAAAATTAAACATTGTCCACTACACAAACAGAAATTGTAAAGTCTTTGTTACTCAATTTTTACGTACTCAAACATACATAGAAACTGAGAATTTATTGGATTTCCATAGATAAATAAGCCTAACCTTATAAATCTCTCTCATTCTTTCAAATTTTGAAGTACCAAATATGCTTACACACTTGTTACAGTTAAAAATTAAGGCAAGTTGTTACTTGTAGGCTTTGATATTAATCAAAGCTTGTAGGTACTTATTCTTATTTAAAGCGTAGTCGTGTAACTTTTGTAATTTAAGATGTTTTTCTTCCTATACCTACAATTTAATATGTAAGATCAATGACCTTATAATTTGATCAATGTACATTCTCCAGGGGCCTAGTTCAGGCACCAGTCTCTCACAATCTATTTACTGTTTTTATATAAGAATTAAAGTATAATAAGTTGTCATGGAATTTGTAGATTGTGGAAGAAGAAATAAAGATTATTATTATTATTATTTATTATATTCTGGGCCTCACCAACCTGCAGGTATAGCGTTTGTGACAACATTCTGGGCCTCACCAACCTGCAGGTATAGCGTTTGTGACAACATTCTGGGCCTCACCAACCTGCAGGTATAGCGTTTGTGACAACATTCTGGGCCTCACCAACCTGCAGGTATAGCGTTAGTGACAACATTCTGGGCCTCACCAACCTGCAGGTATAGCGTTTGTGACAACATTCTGGGCCTCACCAACCTGCAGGTATAGCGTTTGTGACAACATTCTGGGCCTCACCAACCTGCAGGTATAGCGTTTGTGACAACATTCTGGGCCTCACCAACCTGCAGGTATAGCGTTTGTGACAACATTCTGGGCCTCACCAACCTGCAGGTATAGCGTTTGTGACAACATTCTGGGCCTCACCAACCTGCAGGTATAGCATTTGTGACAACATTCTGGGCCTCACCAACCTGCAGGTATAGCGTTTGTGACAACATTCTGGGCCTCACCAACCTGCAGGTATAGCGTTTGTGACAACATTCTGGGCCTCACCATCTCTCTGGTTCTGGCTCTGGGCAGTTTTGTGAGGCTTCTGTTTGTTACAGTTCGTTAGAGCCCAAGCACGCCTCTTTAACTCTATGGGGTCGAGTTAAGCTCTGCGGGGGTGAAGTACTACACGAGGGGGGGGGGGGGAGGGGGGGAGGCTCAGAGGGGTAGGGGACAGAGGTTAGGGGCAAGTGGTCAAAGGAATCCCTCGACTTCACACACACACGCCCCGGAACGCGTGACTTGTTACATGGCGTCACCCTTTTTTTTGCGTGCAGCCGGCATTCATTGACGTTATCTGTACTAAATGTCCTAAAATTAGCGTTCGAAATTTGAATTCCGGCTGCGGGTCTGCGATAGATACTAGGCGATAGTTTAGTTTAATTTGACACGCTAATAACTTCTAAGTTCGAACCATAACTTTATTGCACCAAAGCCACCTGAAGAAAGCCCTCGACGAGATCGAGGGCGCGGGTGATCTTTGAAGTTAAGCACCTTTCGCAGTGATCGGCCATTGGATGGGTGACCGAAAATCTTCTATCTCGAGTTCATCCGTGCTTCGGAAGGCACGTTAAACCGTTGATCCCGGCTGCATCTGCAGTCGTTAGCACCCACCAATCCACAATGGGCCCGCGTGGTGGGCCACGTCCCAATCTCCCTATTCCATCCCTAGAGAAGGCCTGTGCTCCAGCAGTCGGGACATTAATAAACTGATGATGATGATGATGATGAAAGCCATCCGAAGCTTCGTCACGCTGATGTGGGAATAGCATAAGAAAATAGTGAGTTAGCCTTACCTCTGTTTCCTTCTAAATGATTATCTTTGTTTGTTTGTAGATGAAGTTACTGAACCGCGCTCTACCAATGGGCGAGCGCATAGAATACATGGGATGGGTTCACGAAGGCGTAGTTTCGGCCAGCGCCCCGTGGCAGACATACAGACCCAAGTTCCTAGTGCTGAAGGGGACTGACGTCATGCTGTACGATACGCCACCTGTGAGTAACACTTTATTTGGCTTTAAAGTTCACTCCATATATGAGGAGCTAGCGAACAAAATTGTATAATAGCGTATTTGACAGTATTAAAAATAAAGTGCCAATTATTAGCATCTGTGTTTAGAATGAATATTGCCAGGGATTTTCACTATATTTACAGAAAAAATATTCATAATTTTACTAAAAACCCACGAAAAAGATAATAGTTTTCTTATCTATTGTCACGCGACCCAAAACGCTTGGGATTGGCGGAACCTAAAATGACGTCACACGCAAGTAAACTTCCGGTTAAAGTGACATTAGATTGTGTGGTTTGACGTTTTAATGACAGTCGTGTGACGTCACACACCAGTGAGACGCCATATTGTCCAGAGATACGTTTTTCGCGGCAACTTGAAAATAAGAGTTTTTGATTTAGTTTTTTTTTCGAAATACACAACATAATGATGAATATCCACTCTTTATGGACTCTATAAACATTAGTAAATAACGTGAGAGCGTTTTCCAAAACTTGTCAAATACCCTATTGAATATTTATTATGAATTCGAATGTAATAAAGTTAGTACTATAACAGCTTCCTTTTCTTGTACCAGATGAATCTGACAGAGCTCGCCAAGTGCCCTGAAGTCCTCAAGGTCTACCAGACAATGTTCCGCACAGTGAAGGAGAGCGAGACAGTGGACTGGCGGCAGCACTGCTTCCTCGTGCAAGCGGGCGCAGCTGCCGGCCCGCAGCCGCCTGGACCTAGATATTTCAGTGCAGATACGAGGAGAGATCTGCTAAGGGTGGAGGCTGCGTGGACCAATAATGTCGTCAGCTCCGTCGTACGACTCGGGGTGAGTAGTAGTATACTTACTTCATAGAACTGTAGGAAGTTCTCAAGGAAAGAACTTCCTCCGGGCTAAGTGATCCTATATAGATCGCGCTCTGTATATATGTGGGTGCCGTAATATCGTTAGCGCGATGCAGGCTTCCTATGACTGGTGGCAGCACTGCTTCCTCGTGCAAGCAGGTGCCGCTGCCTGCCCGAGACATTTCAGCGATGATACTAGGAGAGATCTGCTAAGGGTGGAGGCTGCGTGGACCAATAATGTCGTCAGCTCCGTCGTACGACTCGGGCTGAGTAGTAGTATACTCACTTCATAGTACTGTAGGAAGTTCGAAGGAAAGATCTTCCTCCGGGCTGAGTGATCCTTGATAGATGTCGGTCGCGCTCTGTATATAAGTGTGAGCCTAGGAATTCCGTTAGTGCGATGCAGGCTACCTATTGTATGGCGCGCGCAGCACTGCTTCCTCGTGCAAGCAGGTCCCGCAGCCTGCCCGAGACATTTCAGCGATGATACTAGGAGAGATCTGCTAAGGGTGGAGGCTGCGTGGACCAATAATGTCGTCAGCTCCGTCGTTCGACTGGGAGTGAGTAGTAGTATACTCACTTCATAGTACTGTAGGAAGGCCTGAAGGAATGATCTTCCTCCGGGCTGAGTGATCCTCGATAGATGTCGGTCGCGCTCTGTATATAAGTGTGAGCCTAGGAATTCCGTTAGCGCGATGCAGGCTACCTATGTATGGCGAGCGCAGCACTGCTTCCTCGTGCAACGTGCAAGCAGGTCCCGCAGCCTGCCCGAGACATTTCAGCGCCATTACTAGGAGAGATCTGCTATGGGTGGAGGCTGCGTGGACCAATAAAGTCGTCACCTCCGTCGTACGACTCGGGCTGAGTAGTAGTATATTTACTTCATAGTACTGTAGGAAGTTCTGAAGGAAAGATCTTCCTCCGGGCTGAGTGTTCCTAGTTAGATGTCGGTCGCACTCTGTATATATGTTGGGAGTGCCGCAACATCGTTAGCGCGATGCAGGCTACCTATGACTGGCGGCAGCACTGCTTCCTCATGCAAGCAGGTGCCACTGCCGGCCCGAGATACTTCAGAGCCGATACTAGGAGAGATCCGCTAAGTGGACCAAAAATGTCGTCAGCTTAGGGGGCCCAATTTCCTAACAGGATTGCTATCGCTTACGATTTCATTTTGTTATTTCTGACCGCCTAAGGTTTTCAATGATTCGCAGCTCTTTTTTTTCCTCTTGCATTATGTGAGGTGAGAGATTATAGTGAGTTACTTGAAAACTTTCGGCGGTCAGAAATAATGCCGCTAGGCGTTTGGCCCCCTGTTGTACGACTCGGGGTGAGTAGTTAGTATACTTTCTTTAGGTGTGAGCGTTCTAAAGACGAACCGGTTTCAAGGACCGTTTTGTGTTCCGCGACGATAGAACCGTTTTACGTTTCGGATCAAAACAGTCTTCGTAGAACAACTAGTCCTCGGATTGTCTGCACGCCAATATGTTCTTTATGATAAAGTAAATACAGTCTATAATAGAATGCAATGATATGAGGCCGTTTCGTTGTATGATAATTAAGCTTTGATTTTACAATAATATAATCTTTATTATTGAACATTTAAAGTCGATTATCGTATAACACAACATTTATTTCGATGTTTCGTCGTCTCGTTCGCAGCAACGAAACGAACGTTAACAAGATTTCATTTAGTTCAGTTTCGTTACGTTACATTCGTTCGACCGTCGCGTGTTGTTTCGTTGCGTCACCCAGCCGCAACCAAAACCAGTTGCGAACGAGAACCGTTTCGAGGACTAGTTTTAGTTTAAGAAAAAACGGTTGCGTTTCGTCGTCAGAAAATTTGAGAACGACCCACCGCTAACTTACTTCATAGTACTGTAAGAAGGCCTGAAAGAAGGATCTTTTTCCGGGCCCTGACAGATGTTGGTCACGCTCTGTATATAAGTGTGAGCCTAGGAATTCCATTAGCGCGATGCAGGCTACCTACGAGTGATGGCAGCACTGCTTCCTCATTCCCTGGACCTTCGCATCACCCAAACAGGGAAAAATCTGCTTAGAGTGGAGTCTGCGTGGACCACTACGATCTTACTAGAAAAAAGATAGACACTGTCTTAACCTTGTATTGCCAAATTTTGTTTGTGGTTTTTTTATTAAACTCGTGTTGAACGCATGTCTATTTTTTGTGTGTGTTATGGCATGTGTTCAAAGTGAAATTGCATTAAATTTTCATTAATAATGTCTTTAACAACGAATATGTATCTCTGAAAGTTTTAAAATTAAAACAATAGTCACATTGGGCTAAGGTAATTTTTATTTTACTAAACTAATTATTTTCCCTTATCAGGCTAACAAAAAACTACAAAACAATTAAGTATGTCCTCAAGAAAACAGTATTTTATCAGTAAGAACGATTAACTTACTTTTAAACATTTTGTTGACAAACAACTTTATTACTGTTTATTAGTTGACTAATTAATTTCAGTAACTGTAATTCTCCTCTTTAATACTTTATTATTGTAATGGGGGCTACCGTTTTCTGCCTCACCAGATGGCGCCACTGTTGAGTGAGGTCCTAAATTGTAACTTTTAAAGTTTATTAATACGCACATGAAATCAAAGGTTACATTTAGATCGTATTTTAACACAAAAGAACCATATCCTAAACATAATAGGCCATGCCACAGTGACGCGCAGTTCCGTTTTATTCGGAAAAAATGGGAACATAATCATTTTTCTAAGCTCAAATTTTTAATAACTGACATTCATTGCCACATAACTCATATTTGCCATAATTAAGCCGAATTGTTACCAATTATTCACAACATTATTTTAATTAGAAATAAACCCGCGTAGTCAACCAACAAGCAATAACATTTGACATTTCGGAGACCTCACGCTACACTAGCGCCTCTAGCGGCGGATTCATACGCGATAGCCCTCATTGCTTCAGGCAAAACTAAATGATTACTTACACTCCATTCACGATAACGAGCCAGTACAGACTTTTCTTTCATAAATCTAAGTAAGGATTGTCGTTACTCCAGCCAGTGCCAGCCACTCTTCTCGACGACTATACGAATTTTTGCGATTGTATGCGCTTTTAACCACAAATTACGTAACTTCCTCGCCTAACCAATAAGGTTCAGAACAAAGCGTTATTTATATCAAGCACACACGTCGTTTTTAGGCATTCTAAATAGCCAGAATTAATTTGCGACCACGCGTGTTGCCAAAATCAATAACTAAGTTTAGGTCATAATTTTAAAGATTGGCGAGAGACGTCCTTCTGGCGACTTCTAATTTTGTGGCTGTACTCTAATAACATCCAATTTCAATTAATTCAAGTAAAAGAAAGACCCTTTATTAGATCTTTGTTGTCTAGATATTTTTATTTTCAAAATATCTTGCTAAGAAACTGAACCAACCATCTTTACCCTTTACTGGGGGTTGATTATTTAAACTGGTCATGACTCATGTCCAAGAATAGGGTATTTGACAGTGTTAAAAATAAAGTGCCAATTGTTAGCATCTGTGTTTAAAATGAATATTGGCAGGGGTTTTTACTATTTTTACAATAAAAATATTCATAATTTTACGAAAAACTAACGAAAAAGATAATAGTTTTCTTATCTATTGTCACGTGACCCAAAACGCTTGGGATTGGCCGAGCCTAAAATAACGTCACACGCAAGTAAACTTCCGGTTAAAGTGACATTACATTGTATCGTTTGACGTTCTAATAACAGTCGTGTGACGTCACACACTAGTAGGACGCCATATTGTCCACAGAAACGTTTTCGCGGCAACTTGAAATGGAGTTTTTGATTTGGTTATTTTTACTGAAATACACAACAAAATGATGAATACCCACTTTTTACGGACTCCATAAACATTAGTCAATAACGTGAGATCGTTTTCTAAAACTTGTCAAATACCCTATTGAGCTAATAGTTAAGTGAGAAAGTATTGCGTGGGCGATGCTGGGATACCGCAGAGCTGTCGATGCGTCGCTTGAGATGCGGATACGGCTGCAAGGACGCCTGGAAATCCTTATTGCTTAACCTGCGTAAAAAACTGTAACTTGATATTGTTATGTGTCATTGACATTCTTGTATATCTATTTAATAATAATAGCAGTGCAACAATCTTTTTTTGCAAACCATGTCACTATTACAAAAACATGGCGTATACGTTGAAGGTATGGTATGGTCACCTTAACAAAAGTTTTGCCGCACAAAATCGTATCACATCAATGAGGGCTATCGCGTATGAATCCGCCGCTAGAGGCGCTAGTGTAGCGTGAGGTCTCCGAAATGTCAAATGTTATTGCTTGTTGGTTGACTACGCGGATTTATTTCTAATTAAAATAATGTTGTGAATATTTGGTAACAATTCGCCTTAATTATGGCCAATATGAGTTATGTGGCAATGAATGTCAGTTATTAAAAATTTGAGCTTAGAAAAATGATTATGTTCCCATTTTTTTCGAACAAAACGGAACTGCGCGTCACTGTGGCATGGCCTATTATGTTTAGGATATGGTTCTTTTGTGTTAAAATACGATCTAAATGTAACCTTTGATTTCATGTGCGTATTAATAAACTTTAAAAGTTACAATTTAGGACCTCACTCAACAGTGGCGCCATCTGGTGAGGCAGAAAACGGTAGCCCTCATTCGCTTCGCAAGTTTCTGCGATGCGACGTCGTATCGCATCGCATAGCAGTTTTGTGTGGGAGCCCTAAGCTTGATTAGTTACTCCATGTTTTATCTCTGTGCAATGAATGACAAAAATTATGAAATGAACAAAACAAGGTGTAGCTAGTCTAAGCCCTTACCTCGTTTATTAATAGGTGAATATTAATACGTTGAGGAGCTCGATGGCGCAAGTGGTTAGTGCGTTCGGCTGCGATCGTTGCAGTTAAGCAACTTTCGCAATGGTCGGTCATTGGATGGGTGACCAAAAATTTAGTATCTCGAGTTCCTCCGTGCTTCGGAAGGCACGTTAAGCCGTTGGTCCCGGCTGCATCTGCAGTCGTTAGAACCCACCAATCCGCACTGGGTCCGCGTGGTGGGTCATGGCCCAGCAGTGGGGACATTAATAGGCTGATGATGATGATGATGATGATGATGAATACGGTAGAAAAATACTGAATCCAACACTTACTTGAATATTTCCGTAATTTCGAGTGCTACAGCGGTCGATAGATGCTTTGATCCTGGATTGAGAAGCGCAGCCTCACCGAAATGTGTTCCGTCGCGGAGATGGGTGATCTGATAGGACAAAATTTGAGAGGATTTAATTACTTGTTGAGCCAGTACTTCTGACTAGACTTGCAACGAATAGTATATTCGGCAGTATACCGAATATTCGGCGAGGACCTTGACCGAATTGCCGAATATTAGGCAAAAGTACCTTACCTTACCCTTCTAAATTTTGATTACCACAATAATTCAAATACATAGAATCCTCCATTTTTCCAATTCAGAAGATGATTATGTACCTGTGTTATGTACCAATGACTACTTAAATGATTATATAACAGAAATGAAAATATGTAATCGATTTTAATTTTTAATTTTACCAATTATTTTTCTATGACCAAATATACTATTTAAGTATTCGGTATTCGGCCGAATAATATGTAGATATTCGGTATTCGGCCGAATATAATAAAAGCAGCCGAATAGGCCGAATACCGAATAGTAACCGAATATTCGTTGCAAGTCTACTTCTGATACAAAACGAAATTGTATTTGCTACAAACCTCTCGTCCCGCTGCGTTGAATAAAGCAACAGTACCAGAATATATCAAATATATGGAACTTCCAGGTTGATCGCATTTCATTACAGTCTGAAAATAAAATTACCCATTACTACGTGACTCCATGGAAGACAAATAGTAGGTAACTAAACAAGGAATAGTCTGAATTAGTGTTGCCGAACTATCGATATTAAAACTATCGACAGTTTACATCGAAAATCATGTACCCTATCGATAGGCCTATCGATAGAATCGATACAACCGATACTATCGTAACTATCGATAGCTCAGAACAAGGCAATACTATCGAATGAGTGCATTACTAAAGATACTATCGATACTATTGTAGTTCGTTAATAAAAAACTATTGATAGTATCGATACTATCGATAGTGTTGATTTTATTTGCAACAATACTATCAATAGTATCAATACTAGTGATTGTTTTAGACTAAAGTTTGTGATTGACTATAATCCCTGAAAATTGTAAACAATACTATTGCAAATTGTTAAACTGTCGATGGTATGGTTGCAAATAAAATCAACAGTATCGATACTATCGATAGTTTGTTATTAACGATGTAAAATTCTATCGATAGTATTTAACTCATCCGATAGTATAGGCTTTTTCTGTGCTGTCGATAGTATCGATACTATCGATCGCTTGGCATACGATTGGTTGGCTATCGATAGACTATAGATTAATCATCGATAGTCGACTATCGATCGGCAACACTACCGAATATCCGACTCTAGCTACAAAGTTAATAGCCACAAAAATAGACAGTTACCTCTCCCGGCATATATACGACTTGAACCAGCTTGAAAATGATCGAATTGACAAGCGCCATAGGCATATCTTGAAACAGAGGTACGTTCATCACCAGACGCTTACAACAGTGCATATTAATGTCCTGTTTGATCTGTTCATTTATCGTGTTTACGATATCAGCTTCGTTAAAGAAGTGCCCATAAAACTTGTATTTGATGAACAACTCGATCTTGCGCCTCAAGCTGTTCGGCAGATGTTTGAACACCATGTAGTTCTGGAGTTCTTTCAGACGTCCGTCGTACAAAAACATATCGAATCGACTGTATGCCATTAGTCGAAGAAAAGTCGAGCCAACGTAGACTATAAACAAGAGACCTAGTAAACCGATCACCGAGCTCATGATCTGCTCCCCTGGTAAATAGTAGTTTGCAGAATCAGGCCTCCCCGCACCAATAATCAGCCCGCAAACGTAGAACAGGCTCGTCGAATACTTGGTGGCGATCGAAGCGTCGTACAGCTCTCCAATATTGAAGCGGTCTATCCAATATTTCGCTCTGCCTTTAAAGCCGTAGAAGTGTACAAAAAGTATTGGTATCTGGTAGTAGCTATAGGCCATCCAGTGTATGAAGAGGCCGAGTCGCACGAGAGTTACCAATGCGCTTGTAGTGATGTAAGACATTTGGATTTGGTGAGACACATTCTTCCATGCTCTCCCGATAGCTATTAGTTTGAAGAGTTTGAGGATGTACCACGTCGTGAATGTTGGAAAGCGACAGCCTATGTAGAACTCTATGAATTGGAAAGGGATGGTAGATATCAAATCTAGTATGAAGGTGTCGCGCAGGTATCGTCTGGCGATCTCTTTGGGGTCTATGATGACTTTGTTTCCGTCCCGCTCGTTGCCGGTCATGAACTTGATGACAATGTCTAGGAAGGCGATCGCGTCCGCCATAAGGATCATGTAGTTGAATGGAGTCGGACCTGTAAGTATTTATCTCTACCCATAGTTCGAACTAACATCGGATTCGAATAGTTAAATTCCATCTCGAACCCGTCAAATATCAAGATGTTGTGTGTGAATTTTTTTTGATTCTCGTTATGTCCGTTGGGACGTTGTTCAAATTTCGATAAAAAATTTCAACTATTCCAATTCGGTATTGGTTCGTGCTTACACTGAAAATAGTTTCGTCTATGGGTGACTGAAATTTTAGTAAACGAAGTTTGTTTATTAATCGGTTAACTCAACTAGTTTGGTAAATCGCTTTTTTCAGAATAGGATACAGGATACTGTTAGATTGATGATCAACTTAAATAGTCATAATCATTTACTTCAAAAATATCTACGCTGATCAGGCAGCAGACGGGACTGTCTTGCCCCCCCCCCCCCTTCTTCTTTCAAATGTTAATACTATGTTTCGTTTGACTTTGTGAGTTGCCCACAATGCGAATCTAACGAATACTAGAAAAAAAATCGACACGATGACTAGGGCCGCGGTGGCATATTAGGGGGTATGGGGTCGAGTCCCGTTCGCTGTCTGGTCGGCGTGGTTTTTTTTTTAATAAAAATGTTCTTTAGGTTTAGTCATATATATTTTTTTTTCTGTACTGATATAAAGAAAACGCAAACAACATTGAGGTTTACCTTTTGCCATATACAGTCAAGCCGTGCAATTACATGACAACTAGCAAACCAGTGAACCAAATATTCACCAAAACCTGATTTAAAAAAAAAATTGAGAACTTCGGAGATTTTGTGTGGTTTCGTTTGAAATTCGTGATTTCTCGAAAACCGGAAGTGCTACGTTACTCAAATCCGGTTTGTAGTCTTATCAGACTATTCTTAACTTATAACTTAAACATTCTCTTTATCTATCTCTTACGGTTTGGCCGCTGAAACAGCACCACAGACAGACGGACGGACGGACGGACTTGTCTAATAGATAAGAGATACTGACAATGAATAGGGTCTCATCACCGCACATACTGAGCTAACATAGCGACCTAATTTGAGTCGCGCGTCATAATAGTAAATTTTATTGATAATTTATATTAATTACACGAGTACTTTAAGAGCGCGCATTCGAAACAGACAAGCAAAGAATTACCTACTAACTATTTTATCTGTATAAATCTAAAGAAATGTTTTTACTAGAAAAAAACCACGCGGACTTAGCAGCGGACGGGACTCGAACCCGCACCCTTCGCAATCCGGGCGAATGCACCGACCAATTATGCTACCACGGCACTGATGGCCGCGTCGAAATTTTCCTAGCCTTAAGCTGCAAGGCAGCGCCATCTCTTCGCATTGTAGGTAACCCACAATGTCAAATGAATACTTTTTCAAGTATTAAACATTTGAAAGAAGAAATAGCAATTATAGTTATGTTTTATTTTTTTAAACATTTAACTGCTAGATGTTTAAATCTAAAGAAACGTTTATACTAGAAAAAAAAAATCTAGTAAAAACCTTTCTTTAGATTTAAACATCTAGAAGTTAAATGCTTAAAAAAATAAAACATTATCTGTATTTACATTCGGCTGCATACATATTAAACATTGGTGATTTTTTCACCTGCGTATTACAAACAACTATAATCTATCAACATCTAAAAGGTGTACGTGGTCACACTGACTCGTACATTTTAATGGTCCTTCGAAAGGTGTTGGTGTTTTAGTGTTTCTGGTATGACTGCAGCAGTAGCGAATCGGTTTGGCTGGCCTCCCACACGCGGGTCTTACCAGCGGAATTGAGAAGGTGCATATACTGTTATTGTGCGATTAAATATACTGAATACTAACTACCAGCAACTATTTCTCATAACTACGATCGAAGAATACGAAATAGGGTATTTGACAAGTTTTAGAAAACGTTCTCACGTTATTGACTTATGTTTATGGAGTCCGTAAAAAATGGATATTAATCATTCTGTTGTGTATTTCAGTAAAAATAACCCAATCATAAACTCCATTTTCAAGTTGCCGCGAAAACGTTTCTCTGGACAATATGGCGTCTCACTGGTGTGTGACGTCACACGACTGTTATTTAAACGACAAACGATACAATGTAATGTCACTTTAACCGGAAGTTTACTTGCGTGTCATTCATTTTAGGCTCCGCCAATCCCAAGCGTTTTGGGTCGCGTGACAATAGATAAGAAAACTATTATCTATTTCGTGGGGTTTTAGTAAAATTATGAACATTTTTTCTGTTAAAATAGTGAAAATCCCTGGCAATATTCATTCTAAACACAGATGCTAACAATTGGCACTTTATTTTTAATACTGTCAAATACTCTATTGGTAAGTAACTTGGTCTGTAACTAGGAATTGTGTTAAACTATCACTACATTATTCTGTGTAGTTCAGAGTAGTGAGTGACAAATGTTACGACGGCAAAGTCTCCTTGTAGAACAGGCCAAAAAGATAAAACGCAGCGCACTCACATGGCTTGAACACTTCCATCGGTATGTAGATAAGTGAGAAGAACCCAACGAGCATAGCAGTGCAGTCCCAGTAGTGTTTGGCGGGACTGTAAGGGTGCAGTACTGGCCAATGGCTCGTCCTCACGAGCCTTTTGCGCTCGCGCTTCACGCTCTGCTGGCTCCGGAGGTATATCATGGAGCCGTTGTGCCATTCGCAAGGCAAACGCCATTCGCGTAACTGAACAGGAACGTGAAAAGCGATAGTCGAATTAGATGATTCGTAAAATAGATGAGACACCAATGTTTGGTCGAGATTTCTTGTTAGAAAGAGATAAGTTTTTTAATAGACATACATCATCATCATCATCAGCCTATTAATGTCCCCACTGCTGGGGCACAGGCCTTCCCTATGGATGGAATGAGGAGATTGGGCCATGACCTACCACGCGGACCCAGTGCGGATTGGTGGGTGCTAACGACTGCAGATGCAGCCGGGACGTGCCTTCCGAAGCACGGAGGAGCTCGAGATAGTAAATTTTTGGTCACCCATTCAATGACCGACCACTGCGAAAGTTGCTTTACTTCAACGATCGCAGCCGAACACGCTAACCACTTGCGCCATCGAGCTCCACTACGATACCTCTAGAGGCACTCGCCAATTTTCGGCTTGAGTTCCCCTTAGGATCTCGCCGTCCCCAAACCCGGTGACGCTGTAAAGGTCATCTGCGACCAACAGCATATACACTCAAAAAATAGACAGTTACAATATAAAAAAGTAATCTCTCTCAGACAGAGAGAGATTTTAAATACATTTAAGTTAAACCCATATTACTATTCTCTCTCTCTCTATATATATATATATTTAATATTATTAAAGAGAGAGTGAGTGAGTGAGTGAGTGAGTGAGAGAGAGTGAGTGTGTGTGTGAGAGAGAGAGAGAGATTTTAAATACATTTAAGTTAAACCCATATTACTACAGTGTGTTTAATTTTAGAACCCAAATTGGCTTTGGGGTTCTTTTTGATAAAACTGTACTTTCGGGACTTTTGTCTCATAGACTACAAAAAATATAGCAAAAAAAAACATCAATGTAACTTGTAAAAGTGGTCGCACTTTTTATTTACTAGGAAAAGTAAAAAAATAAATATAAAAAGCTAATCTATATATATAAAACTCAAAGGTGACAGACTGACATAGTGATCTATCAACGCACAGCCCAAACCACTGGACGGATCGGGCTGAAATTTGGCATGCAGGTATATGTTATGACGTAGGCATCCGCTAAGAAAGGATTTTGATCAATTCTATCCCGAAGCGAAGCGAGGGTGGGCCACTAGTAGCCTATAAATGTAGTGACCTTGTTTACTAACGTCGTTAAAAGAAACCTTTTCAGCGGAAAATTGTGAAGTTTCAATCAATAAATTGTGAAGTGTCTACTTTTAGGCCTAGCCCCCGTAGCCTGAGCACCACAATTTACATTATAGCACGTTTTTTATCGCGTCTAACTGTCAAACTATAATAATCTGACAATTGATCGTGATAATAACGCGATATATAAATTGCGGCATCGCCGTGCGCATTCTAGGAGGGCAAAAAGTTGAGTTTATCCCTTACCCGTTAGCAAACTGGAAGTTAAAAAAAATTTTTTTTAGCATGTAACTGCTTGATGTTTAAATCTAAAGAAAATATAACTAGAAAAAATTCCACGCGGCCTAGGCAGCAGACGGGACTCGAACCCGCACCCTTCGCAATCCGGGCGAATGCACTGACCAATTATGCTACCGCGGCCCTGACGACCGCGTCGAAATTCTTCTAGCCATTCTTAAGCTGCAAGGCAGCGCCATTTCTTCGCATTGTAGGTAGTCCACAATGTCAAATGAATACTTTTACAAGTATTAAACATTTGAAAGAAGAAATAACAATTGTAGTCATAATTTTTATTTTTTAAGCATGTAACTGCTTGATGTAAACTAGAAGTTACGATAAACGAACCTTATATAGCATCCGCCAGCACCAGCCCAGAGTAGGCGGTGGGTCCATGAACTTTGCTGGTTTCGGTAGCATGCACACGTGTCTGCTGTCGATCATTATCACGTTTACTATTTCATATACCAGTTGTATAATGCTTCACTTTAACCAAGATAAAATTTCCCTTATTCTGTGAAAACGAATTGATAAGCTTCATAAAAAAACCTGCCTTATTTGACATTGTATTTGTCTGAATTATTGACGTATTTTTGATAGGCGTGTTACTTTTTTTTTTGGTTAAGTTCTCCCTTTTCAGAGAAGGCAAAGGGAACAATGCCCATTCAGCCTAGTTTTAAGTTAAATTATTCTGTTTTTCTTTTTACATTAGAATGTCGGTGTGACGCATTCTAATGTTTCTTGAAGTGTTTGGCACGAAATATATCGAGCTGGTTTTTCGATAAGCTTCTATGAGGTACTCAATACTACAAAAAAATTTTCACGTCCACTTGACCGGAATAGCGTATATTTTGACGATTCTACTAATTCTTTAGTTACGCAGACAGTTGTAACACAAAATTACACCAATTTTTTTTCACAATATCCACTATGAACGAATTTAAGAATAATTAAAATAAGACACCAACCACACTCGATGAAACCCCGCCAAAAAATCCGTTTGACTTTTTTAAAGCGAAGAAGAATTGTTTATGGTGGCACCCGGAGTCGTAGGTAGTGTTGTCATGTTATTATTTTTGTCATTGTCTCTTTCCAGTTATGATGCTCAAGCAAAAAGTTTTAGATCATGTTCGTCAGATACTTTTTTCGCAGCAATATAAATACTGTAACATAAATATTGTAAAAATGAACAACAAATAATTTTTAACGATGTTTATTTTTTTAACCAAAGGTACGGTTAATTTGTACTAGCGCAGAATCAAAGTGTATTGAAGCGAATTTCAGATACAGTAACATTATAGTATAGGGAAAGGATGCAAATTTGGAATACTACTTTAAAAAAAATCGTATTAAACATGGATGAAGAGATAAATAAGTGAACACTGCATTTAATGTTAGAAGCTTATATTTTATTCAAGTTAAAGTAATTAACAATCTTGGATTATCACAAGTAGGATCAATTGTGGTTTAATTAAGAAATCAGAGATTGACGTAGTTTAACCAAAGTGAATATAATTTGGAATAGGGTATTCCAAATTACAATCACCTAATGGTTAACCTGAAATACCTATTTATTTGGCTTTAAATTAAAGCATTTCAATTTAAAATATATTTTTCTAGGCTTTGCAACAGTCACAAACATAACAACCAGAGTCATAGCCTATTGTATTCCAAATTAGCAACATAGCCAATTCTATCCAAAATGTTTTTGTGAATTTGTGTTTCCATTAATTTCTAAAATAAGTGTTGATTTGAACAACTGACATACTAAAGAAAATATAACTAGAAAAAATTCCACGCGGACCAGGCAGCAGACGGGACTCGAACCCGCACCCTTCGCAATCCGGGCGAATGCACTGACCAATTATGCTACCGCGGCCCTCACGGACCGCGTCGAAATTCTTCTAGCCATTCTTAAGCTGCAAGGCAGCGCCATCTCTTCGCATTATAGGTAACCCACAATGTCAAATGAATACTTTTACAAGTATTAAACATTTGAAAGAAGAAATAGCAATTATAGTTATAAATTTTATTATTTTTAAAGCATGTAACTGCTTGATGTTTAAATCTAAAGAAAATATAACTAGAAAAAATTCCACGCGGACCAGGCAGCAGACGGGACTCGAACCCGCACCCTTCGCAATCCGGGCGAATGCACTGACCAATTATGCTACCGCGGCCCTCACGGACCGCGTCGAAATTCTTCTAGCCATTCTTAAGCTGCAAGGCAGCGCCATCTCTTCGCATTTCAATTTCGACGCGGTCCGTGAGGGCCGCGGTAGCATAATTGGTCAGTGCATTCGCCCGGATTGCGAAGGGTGCGGGTTCGAGTCCCGTCTGCTGCCTGGTCCGCGTGGAATTTTTTCTAGTTATATTTTCTTTAGATTTAAACATCAAGCAGTTACATGCTTTAAAAATAATAAAATTTATAACTGACATACTAGATTTCAGATTTGTACAAATATAAACACATAAATATAAGTCACACTCAAGATGAAAGCCGTTTTATTACTTATTTGGAAAATTTTCTCGACAGCACTTTCACTCCGATGAAGTTTGTCACCGAACTGTCAGTGTGGCTGCTTCTAAGCCATCTCATTTTTTTTTCCTTACACATAGACTACGTAAAACTGGTATACGTTAATAGATGGCGCTTTAGTATATTTGTATATTGCAGTATTCCAAATTACCAACCGTATTCCAAATTAGCATCCTTTCCTCTATTATAAATTCCGCTTTAGTCAGAAAAACAAACAAGTCATAATTTATTTTGACGAATTCGGCATTAAATGCCTGATGATCTAAATCAACAAAAATATTATAAGAGAAATGAATGAAGTTTACGTGGTTGTATTAATTGGGCGATTTACTTGTCCGTAGAAGAAGACGTTCACGGTGGTGCACGGCGGGCGCGCGGCCGGCCTCACGCTGGACTGGGCGGCCGGGTTCTCGCTCAGCGAGGGCACGCCCGGCGCGCCGCCCGTGTGGGCATATAGGTACCTGTCTATATAGGCACTACACTACACTACACTACACTACACTACACTACCTCACACCTATACTGCACTACACTCACCTACACTACACGCGGTCCCCGGCCGGCCTCACGCTGGACTGGGCGGCCGGGTTCTCGCTCAGCGAGGGCACGCCCGGCGCGCCGCCCGTGTGGGCATATAGGTACCTGTCTATATAGGCACTACACTACACTACACTACACTACACTACACTACCTCACACCTATACTGCACTACACTCACCTACACTACACGCGGTCCCCGGCCGGCCTCACGCTGGACTGGGCGGCCGGGTTCTCGCTCAGCGAGGGCACGCCCGGCGCGCCGCCCGTGTGGGCATATAGGTACCTGTCTATATAGGCACTACACTACACTACACTACACTACACTACCTCACACCTATACTGCACTACACTCACCTACACTACACGCGGTCCCCGGCCGGCCTCACGCTGGACTGGGCGGCCGGGTTCTCGCTCAGCGAGGGCACGCCCGGCGCGCCGCCCGTGTGGGCATATAGGTACCTGTCTATATAGGCACTACACTACACTACACTACACTACACTACACTACCTCACACCTATACTGCACTACACTCACCTACACTACACGCGGTCCCCGGCCGGCCTCACGCTGGACTGGGCGGCCGGGTTCTCGCTCAGCGAGGGCACGCCCGGCGCGCCGCCCGTGTGGGCATATAGGTACCTGTCTATATAGGCACTACACTACACTACACTACACTACACTACACTACCTCACACCTATACTGCACTACACTCACCTACACTACACGCGGTCCCCGGCCGGCCTCACGCTGGACTGGGCGGCCGGGTTCTCGCTCAGCGAGGGCACGCCCGGCGCGCCGCCCGTGTGGGCATATAGGTACCTGTCTATATAGGCACTACACTACACTACACTACACTACACTACACTACCTCACACCTATACTGCACTACACTCACCTACACTACACGCGGTCCCCGGCCGGCCTCACGCTGGACTGGGCGGCCGGGTTCTCGCTCAGCGAGGGCACGCCCGGCGCGCCGCCCGTGTGGGCATATAGGTACCTGTCTATATAGGCACTACACTACACTACACTACACTACACTACACTACCTCACACCTATACTGCACTACACTCACCTACACTACACGCGGTCCCCGGCCGGCCTCACGCTGGACTGGGCGGCCGGGTTCTCGCTCAGCGAGGGCACGCCCGGCGCGCCGCCCGTGTGGGCATATAGGTACCTGTCTATATAGGCACTACACTACACTACACTACACTACACTACACTACACTACCTCACACCTATACTGCACTACACTCACCTACACTACACGCGGTCCCCGGCCGGCCTCACGCTGGACTGGGCGGCCGGGTTCTCGCTCAGCGAGGGCACGCCCGGCGCGCCGCCCGTGTGGGCATATAGGTACCTGTCTATATAGGCACTACACTACACTACACTACACTACACTACACTACACTACACTACCTCACACCTATACTGCACTACACTCACCTACACTACACGCGGTCCCCGGCCGGCCTCACGCTGGACTGGGCGGCCGGGTTCTCGCTCAGCGAGGGCACGCCCGGCGCGCCGCCCGTGTGGGCATATAGGTACCTGTCTATATAGGCACTACACTACACTACACTACACTACACTACACTACCTCACACCTATACTGCACTACACTCACCTACACTACACGCGGTCCCCGGCCGGCCTCACGCTGGACTGGGCGGCCGGGTTCTCGCTCAGCGAGGGCACGCCCGGCGCGCCGCCCGTGTGGGCATATAGGTACCTGTCTATATAGGCACTACACTACACTACACTACACTACACTACACTACCTCACACCTATACTGCACTACACTCACCTACACTACACGCGGTCCCCGGCCGGCCTCACGCTGGACTGGGCGGCCGGGTTCTCGCTCAGCGAGGGCACGCCCGGCGCGCCGCCCGTGTGGGCATATAGGTACCTGTCTATATAGGCACTACACTACACTACACTACACTACACTACACTACCTCACACCTATACTGCACTACACTCACCTACACTACACGCGGTCCCCGGCCGGCCTCACGCTGGACTGGGCGGCCGGGTTCTCGCTCAGCGAGGGCACGCCCGGCGCGCCGCCCGTGTGGGCATATAGGTACCTGTCTATATAGGCACTACACTACACTACACTACACTACACTACACTACCTCACACCTATACTGCACTACACTCACCTACACTACACGCGGTCCCCGGCCGGCCTCACGCTGGACTGGGCGGCCGGGTTCTCGCTCAGCGAGGGCACGCCCGGCGCGCCGCCCGTGTGGGCATATAGGTACCTGTCTATATAGGCACTACACTACACTACACTACACTACACTACACTACCTCACACCTATACTGCACTACACTCACCTACACTACACGCGGTCCCCGGCCGGCCTCACGCTGGACTGGGCGGCCGGGTTCTCGCTCAGCGAGGGCACGCCCGGCGCGCCGCCCGTGTGGGCATATAGGTACCTGTCTATATAGGCACTACACTACACTACACTACACTACACTACACTACACTACACTACCTCACACCTATACTGCACTACACTCACCTACACTACACGCGGTCCCCGGCCGGCCTCACGCTGGACTGGGCGGCCGGGTTCTCGCTCAGCGAGGGCACGCCCGGCGCGCCGCCCGTGTGGGCATATAGGTACCTGTCTATATAGGCACTACACTACACTACACTACACTACACTACACTACCTCACACCTATACTGCACTACACTCACCTACACTACACGCGGTCCCCGGCCGGCCTCACGCTGGACTGGGCGGCCGGGTTCTCGCTCAGCGAGGGCACGCCCGGCGCGCCGCCCGTGTGGGCATATAGGTACCTGTCTATATAGGCACTACACTACACTACACTACACTACACTACCTCACACCTATACTGCACTACACTCACCTACACTACACGCGGTCCCCGGCCGGCCTCACGCTGGACTGGGCGGCCGGGTTCTCGCTCAGCGAGGGCACGCCCGGCGCGCCGCCCGTGTGGGCATATAGGTACCTGTCTATATAGGCACTACACTACACTACACTACACTACACTACACTACCTCACACCTATACTGCACTACACTCACCTACACTACACGCGGTCCCCGGCCGGCCTCACGCTGGACTGGGCGGCCGGGTTCTCGCTCAGCGAGGGCACGCCCGGCGCGCCGCCCGTGTGGGCATATAGGTACCTGTCTATATAGGCACTACACTACACTACACTACACTACACTACACTACCTCACACCTATACTGCACTACACTCACCTACACTACACGCGGTCCCCGGCCGGCCTCACGCTGGACTGGGCGGCCGGGTTCTCGCTCAGCGAGGGCACGCCCGGCGCGCCGCCCGTGTGGGCATATAGGTACCTGTCTATATAGGCACTACACTACACTACACTACACTACACTACCTCACACCTATACTGCACTACACTCACCTACACTACACGCGGTCCCCGGCCGGCCTCACGCTGGACTGGGCGGCCGGGTTCTCGCTCAGCGAGGGCACGCCCGGCGCGCCGCCCGTGTGGGCATATAGGTACCTGTCTATATAGGCACTACACTACACTACACTACACTACACTACACTACCTCACACCTATACTGCACTACACTCACCTACACTACACGCGGTCCCCGGCCGGCCTCACGCTGGACTGGGCGGCCGGGTTCTCGCTCAGCGAGGGCACGCCCGGCGCGCCGCCCGTGTGGGCATATAGGTACCTGTCTATATAGGCACTACACTACACTACACTACCTCACACCTATAATGACCTAAACTCACATAAACTATACTACATGACACCTACACTAGACTAAACTCATCTACACTAGACTACATGACACCTATACTAAACTAAAGTCACCTACACCACACAACATAACCCTTATACTAGACCAAACTCAACTACACTACACCACATGATACCTATATTAGACTAAACTCACCGACACTACATTACATGACACCTATACTAAACTCATCCACACTACATGACACCTATACTTAACTCATCCACACTACATGACACTTATACTATACTAAACTCACATACACTACATGTTACTTATACTATACTAAACTCACCTGCACTACACTACATAACACCTAGAAGACATTCTCGGTGGTGCACTGCCAGCTTCACACTGGACTGGGCGGGCGGGTTCTTGGCCCGTAGAGCGTTACACTACATAACACCTATACTAAACTAAGACACGCCTTTTTTATGTGTCTGGCAAATAGCCTACGCATCCCTCCTTCTACCACTTGGGGAGCGAAAGAAAAGTATCCGGGACTTCTCCCTGCTTCTTACGGGCGTCCCTGGAGCTCGATTAATATGAGCGGGACCCTACCTAACGCCCTGAACAAGGCCAGTAAAAACCAGACAATACTCCTGCACCGTCACCGGACATACGTTCTGAGGACCGCGGTTTTCACAAGACACACCAGGAGTGCGGGTGTGGTCGCGGCAGCCATTTCTAACTGTACACCACAATTATTGTACACTACAATACAATACCTATGGATGGAATAGGGAGATTGGGCCATCACCCACCACACGGGCCCAGTGCGGATTGTCGGGTGCTAACGACTGCAGTTGCAGCCGGGACCAACGGCTTAACGGAGGAACTCGAGAAAGAAGATTTTTGATCACCCATCCAATGACCGACCACTGCGAAAGTTGCTTAACTCCAACGATCGCAGCCGAACGCGCTAGCCACCTGCGCCTTTGGGTCATGGCCCAATCTCCCTATTCCATCCATAGCGAAGGGCTGTGCCCCAGCAGTGAGGACATTAAAAGGCTGATAATAATGATGTATCATTCGCTATGTCTACTCTGGTTCTTTAAGACTTGACCTTTCTTTCATCAGATTTTCCCAATTACGAGGTTCCAGCGACGATGGCAAGTCCAAGCTTAAGTTGCACTTCCAAGACGCCGAGACCAAAGTCATCGAAACCAAGGTAATATTATATCCTTAACGGTGTCGATTCTGGCATAATAGGGGTGATGACGGGGTACAGTAAACGAAATTCTATTTAGTCCGTCAGTTAGATGATCAAAAAATAATGGACACGTATTTTTTCTTTCAATCAACCAAAAAATTACTAAGTTATATAGCGCGTCAAAGTTTGGGAGTAGGTGCTCGTGACGTCACTTTTTAGTGAATATTCGCTTAAAAGTGTACTCAAACGTGACGTCATGCGACTTTTCAAATCCATATATTTCTGCAATATTTATATATTGTGAAAAAAGAAAAAATACGTGTCCAATACTTTTTGATAATCTACCTGATAAACGAAGAAAAAAAAAATTACTCATCATCCCTATTCTCTTAACCTAAACTTAAATTTGACAACAGTGTATCCTTGTCATTCTCTATACAGAACGAAAAGGAGAGACTGATGTTAAATTTAGTTTTAAGTAAACTAAAGAGAATCAAGGCAAAATCGACACCATTGCCTATGAACATTTATAAATACGAATCAACGATATTGAATACCCTAGATACATCAACACGAACAAAATCGTGGCCGAAACCTGTCCAAAAGGTACATTGGACTATCCTCAGAGCTGCGTAAGATAATCTCGGGGTCAAAAACAATACAAGGATTATTTATATGTCGGCGGATGGTGTCTCACTCGCTCCTTCGAAACGTTAAACCGACAACAAATGTCATCAGTCAAGAGTACCATTGCCTTGTGAAACGTAACGTAATGACAGTGACAACTGTAATCACTTGGGAGTGGTCTATGCTAAGGGTAGTATTTAAGGGGCTATGCTTCATTAGAAAGGGCATTCAGCATTCAGACGTGAGCCGCGATAGTGAACGGACGTTAGCAGAGAACTCTCCGCGCATCACAAAGCAATCCGTTTGTACATTGGCAATCATAACTGATTTTGTAAAGTGATTAGAAGATTCAAATTAAACATTAGCTTGGTTTTTAGACTACAGTTTAATTTTCGGAAAATAACATCGAATACCCAAGATGGCGGATCTAGACGAACCACGTGGCCAACCGCCTATCCCGCTCACCCCTCCGACATATACATTGAAAGTCACCTCTAATGCATATTGTATAGTCTTAATAAAACGCATGCATCAAAGACATCATTATTATCGAAATGCAAGCTCGTAATATTTTTTTCTTAAATGTAGCGGTTAATGATCTCGCACTGGAACTACTTTTAAATGATATTTCGCACAATATTGAAGTGATATTTATAAATAATATAGTATATTTATTATAACAATTACTCATGATACAGAAACCTATGACAAAGAATTATTAATATTTTTTGTAGTTGTGTTCGTATCAACGATATTAAATACCCTAGATACACCACGAGCGCTCAAAATGTGTTCCAATCAAGAAGTGCTTGAACTCCATTCAAGCACTTTATGGTTCACAGTCACGCGCGGACCGTTGAAAAGTCAATATGCCGCAGAACTCAGTGAAAAAATGCGAAATAATTACTTATAGTATATTAAATGTCGTTTTTTCGATGTTTATTAATTTAACGAATTTGAATCAAATTTTATTGTAATACTTACTATAAACTGATTTAATATAAAATATTTGTGATCAAATACATAATCGGTTATACGTCGCCGTCTCGTATACCCGTCTCTTTTCCTCGCAGTCTGCATCTGCTACATTGCTAACAGCGCATAGAATTAAAGAAATAAGGTCTATATTCTTCCGCATATAACAATACGTCGTAAAATTTTACGAGCTTGGATTTCTAACTGCCATAATGTCTTTGACGCATGCGTTTTAATTAAGACTTTATGCAGTATGCATTTAAGGTGACTTTCAATGTTTAATTAATGCATTATATTGTTTTTTACCACGCGATCATCTTACGGAGCTCCGTGGATCGTCCAATGTACCTTTTGGACACGTTTCGACCACGATTTTGTTCTTTTTGTTGTAGCTAGGATATTCAATATAAATAGAATAGAATGTATTTTATTAACGCTCATATTACAGATATTACAGATATTACACATTTACAGATACAAAAATCTCAGAGCTAACCAGGACCCTGCATCAGCATTAGCTGATGTGACATTTTGTCGCAAGCGCTGTTATTCTGGCAGGGCCTGTTTAGTGACACACATTTTTTTTTATTAGTTGAAAGGATGTATGGGCTTAGCATCCTTTGCTATCAATATCGTTGTGTTTAAGCGAAACATTGGTGTCTGTCAGGAGTTGGAGTGCCAGATTCTGCAGAGCCTATTGTTCTGCATGCACGCCTTCCTCACCGCCAAGGTAGCCTCCGTAGACCCGGCCTTCCTCGCCTCTATACACCACAACAATTAGCGCGAATACTAACTCTTATCTAACCTAACATAAGGTCGAATTACTGATAGATCGGCAGTGCGATTCTGTAAAATGAAACCTCTCTCGCGAGTTCCGAAATTCCAATTTTAGACTTCTTTTTGGACGGGGTGTAAATGGAAAAGATGTCACGAACGTCACGTGTGGGATGCGTGCGCAGCTCTTCCCAAAGAGCATGAAAGTTGGAGGGTAACTCGGCGAAGGCTGAAACAATATGTTTTTTGAAGTGAAACTTCTTTATCGGCGTTGGAAAAAAAATTACCGTCACATTTTTATTCGGTTACGCGTCACGTTTTTTGGTTACGCGCCATCTTTTTTTTAAAAGAGCACTATTTACCTCATCCGCACAATTGCTTCTTCTGTCAACTTTAAGAAAAAAAGTATCGACAGCAAATATTCGTGTTTCACACAAGGTAAGGTAAGGTAAGGTAAGGTAAGGTAAGGTAAGGTAAGGTAAGGTAAGGTAAGGTAAGGTAAGGTAAGGTAAGGTAAGGTAGATATACCCCTTTAGTGGGTGAGTTTTTGAAAAATCTTAGCGCACGCCTATATATATATTTCTGGAAAGTTGCATGTAGATCATTTTTCGAAAAAAATAAGGCCATAAAGAAGTTTCACTTCTTACGTGTGTACACTAGTACACGCACACATTTTTTTTTTGAGTGTGTATGCTGTTGGTCGCAGATGACCTTTACAGCGTCACCGGGTTTGGGGACGGCGAGATCCTAAGGGGACCTCAAGCCGAGAATTGGCGAGCGCCTCTAGAGGTATTCCAGGCGGATGGCATATCCCCACGGGGGGAGTCTCCTCTCCGTCTGGAGCCTCTAGACCACTCGAACCTGAGGGGGTCGGCTCAACTAGAGGGCGTCTCTGAGACTCGGACCTCGGCTCTAGTTAGTTGTCGTGGGGGGGGGGGGGGACAATACAAGAGTCATACACGACAATATATATGAGTGATGCGCGCGCTGCCCCATTCCCCTATGCCTAATGCACCGCCTAATGTTAGGTTATTTTTGAAAGGAAGTTTCACTTCAGATGTGTGGTCCGTGCACACAATTTTTTATGCATTACGCTATTACACGACAAAATGACAGAATGACTGTTGAAGCAGCCAGCAATAGATAGTTGACAGTTGTCAAAAATCCGTATAAATGTAATTGTCAGTGAGATTGCATCTTACAGAATCGACTTGCAGTATCGAGATGCAGCAAAGACTTATGATTGTACTAAAAGAATCTCTTACCATAATAGGGGTGATGACGGGGTACAGTAAACGAAATTCTATTTAGTCCGTCAGTTAGACGATCAAAAAATAATGGACACGCATTCTTTCTTTGGGCAATCAACCAAAAAATGACAAAGTTATAGCGCGTCAAAGTTTGGGAGTAGGGGCTCGTGACGTCACTTTTAAGTGAAAATTGTACCAAAACGTGACGTCATGCGAATTTTCAAATCAATATATCTCTGTAATGTTTATACTATGTGAAAAAAGAAAAAATACGTGTCCAATACTTTTTGATAATCTACCTGATAAACTAAGAAAAAAAATAGTCATCATCCCTATTGGAATTTCCTCTTTCTTACCAAACAATACGCTATCTGTTACTGATAAACCAGTTTTAGGATTAAGCTAGTCTCAAGACTCGTATACTACGCTATTCCAAAAAAAGTCTCTTACGATAATACTCGTGGTAGAAACTGATGGCCCAAGATCTTTAAGTAACACCTCTGGTACTAATAATCCAGGATGATTAAGAATAAGTCAATTGACACCTTTCTATTTTGTCTATAGTTAATGAAGGCTATCGCGTATGAATCCGCCGCTAGAGGCGCTAGTGTAGTGTCATCATCATTATCATCAGCCTATTAATGTCCCCACTGCTGGGGCACAGGCCTTCCCTATGAATGGAATGCACCACGCGTGCCCAGTGCGGATTGGTGGGTTCTAACGACTGCAGATGCAGCCGGGACCAACGGCTTAACGTGCCTTCCGAAGCACGGAGGAGCTCGAGATAGTAAATTTTTCTTCACCCATCCAATGACCGACCACTGCGAAAGTTGCTTAACTTCAACGATCGCAGCCGAACGCGCTAACCACTTGCGCCATCGAGCTCCTCAGTGTAGTGTAGTGTTAGGTCTCCCGAAATATCAAATGTTATTGCTTGTGGGTTGACTACGCGGGTTTATTGTAAATTAAAAATAATGTTGTGAATATTTGGTATTAACTCTGATTAGTAATGGCAAATATGAGTTACGTGTCAATGAATGTCAGTGATTTATAAGCGGAGCTAAGAAAAAATATTATGTTTTTTTTTTCATTTAAATCATATTGTATTAAAATATGATTTAAATGTAAACTTTGATTTCACGCTCGTATAAACAAACTTTAAAAGCTACACTTCAGTACCCCTAGCACGAACCAATATCGAATTCGTATCGTTTGCAAACCGAAATGTCAATGTCAAATTTTGTATGAAAACTTGAACAGCAGCGACACAAAGTACGTAAACAGAACTAAAAAATCAATACACATTTGACAATGACATTTCGGACTTGATTTCGAATCGAATTCGATATTGGTTCGTGCGAAGGGTACTGGACCTCACGCTACAGTGGCGCCATCTGGTGAGACAAAAAACGGTAGCCTTCATTGACTTTGATGGATGTATGCTATCCTGAAAATTAGAAACGACTCCTTATAGTATAAATTAAACAATGTTTGTATTTTAAGTTAATATATAATTTCACATGTATTTATGATTGTGATAACTAGTGCAATTTAAATTTGAAATATGTACACAAAATATTTATTATATTGGCTAAACTCATTTTGTCAATTGACGTCAATTACTTGATTTCTGTAAACAACGGACGTCAATTAAATTTTATTTCGTAAAAGCAAAGAGTTTACTTTGTAAACCTTAAATCGAAAATTATTCTTACCTAGTAAGTAACGTGTTTTTGTTAGATGAAATTTCGAATTGTATCCCTAAGGCCTAAATTATTTGATAACTAAAACAGCGAATGTTGAAAGACTTTAGATATTTTAACTTAGCGTTTCCCCTTGTTGTTCTTTCTATCTACAGATCTATTTTTGAATCTCAACTTATTTGTTATGAAGATCGTTTTGACGTGACAACGTCTTAAATTAGGTTGCGGCTGGGAGTCACTTATGAAAAAGTGTAACGCTCGGTAACGTTACGATGAGTCTCTCGTGTTAAGTTTAAGTTTACATGTACAATGTTTTAGTAAACAAAATATATTTCTATAGTTAAAATTTGTGCAATTCTTATTTTCATTCAATTCCTTGTTCCTATTGTGCAATTTAATTATATTCATATCAATAAATATTCTACCGAGAAAAAGACGTTGTCACGTAAAATCTTCGCCCGTAAAACCGACTTTACAGGCAACCATTTTTTTCGTGGTTATTGATGAAACTATTTCTCGTCTTCCCCGTGTCAATACTCTTTTATGGTTCGCTTCAACTATAAAGGACATGGCTAAGAAACTGCCCTTAACGTGTATAATTATTTCACACTAGCCCGTAACATTGTAATATTTTTTTATTAATTACCACTTGTTTATTATTCTCATACAACTTTCGTGAAATAATAAAATGTTTAAAAGTATGAAAATTGACTACACGACTGTTTCATAAGGAAAATGTTCCGTTTTACAGAAATAAATGAACAATAAATTGTACACAAAAAATATTTGTGTAAGTATATTGAAATAAACAATATTATTTCTAAACTCCTTCAAACTATGACATATTTGGCCCTAATTTTTATTATAACAAATCACTGCAGGCCTGAAATAGTATATTTTACTATTCTTATCATGTTTGGACAAGGCTGTATGATAATTAATCCTTTGATTTTTGCCAATGTACAAAATAAAACTTCACAGACCACCTGTTAGGCCGATGACAACCGACATTTTGTATTTATTTTTGCATTAAAACACTTTGTGAAGTGTTAAATATTACTAAGTACA